AATATTATTATCAACAAAAGCTAAGATCAATATTTGACACTGAGATTTGGAAAAAAGTCAAAAATTTTAAAAGCCTTCAAATTCGCCATCCTAAAAAGAACATGGAATGAAAACAATTGAGAGTACAGTACACACTGCAATATATTCGAGCTAAACATTTGGAAAAAAACATGTAATGTAAATTGTAATCCTATGTTCGGAACAGTGTGGGAGATTTTAATCCCTACATATACATATTAGCATTTAAGAGATACTACAAGCGATATTACAATGCTTGCCTGTATCAGATGTTAATGGAAAACTACAGGCATGCCAAGATTTGTAAAACTCACACCTTTACAGTCGTGTATAGTACGTATTATGTATATAATTTTACGGTACACTAAATAATGCACATGTATTGTGCATGTACCATAAATAGGCAGTGGCCACACAATTGCAAGGTTCACAAAAGCAGTGTTGATGTAGGAATTAAAGTTGGAGAAACTTGCAGGGAACAATTGAGAACCCTCTATTGTGTTTGCCATGGCCATTTTTTTTGGGGGGGGGGCATACTGAGGGATTAGTACATGTACAAGCTCTGGTTCTATCCATGACCTTCTGACCTCTGTGGTCAAAATGAATGCAATAACTTCTGCAATTACTCATTCCCAACAAACCTATTGAAGGAACCTCAAGTTCTTACAGTGTACGTGCATCAGTTAGGCCAAGTAAACAAATTCATCAGTTTCTTGTCCACGCCCGCTTCCTTTTGTCCCACTAAACTCCCCCCCCCCTTTTTTTAATTCATACATTTGCAATATATTTTGCACATTATATTGTCAATACATTTCCAACAAATTTGTAGCTACCGGTATGTAGAAAGGAATGCGGCTCATTTGGGCAGAATTTTGTATCGGAAAAAGAGTTGGGAAAATGGAAGAATCCATCCGCCATCTTGGGGGGGGGGGGGGGAGTGCCTGCCTCCTCAATTTTTTCAAAATGCTTGGACAAGAAATTAATTGTATATTTACTTGGCCTAACATGGTTTGATACCACAAGCATCGATACATGTACCAGTAGTTTAAATTGTTAATTAAGGTTTTTATTGACATTCAAATATTTGGTGATCATTTAAATGTAAAAACCAATGTACCGGTATACATGTGTAATGGAATCCAATTGTTTTGGATCAAAACTATGTAATTACATACATGTATGTAAGGCCAAAAAAAAAATAGTTCTGCGTCCAGTTTCCCTACTTAACCTATTCTGACAGCCCCTACCCTAATTTTTTTATGGGCAAAATGAGGAAAAATACGAAAACCATCAATTTCGACCTTTTACCCTTGACAACACGCAGACGCCTCCATATGATCGTGCACAAAAAAATGGCCAAAAAAAAGGATTTCAAATAGTTTTCATACATTTAAAAGAGAAAGTTGCGCAAAATATGTTCCTTAGAAAAATTCATTTCATGGACCCTTAAATCTTCGACAACAGAACTGAATAAATGGCAAATGATAGAATACAAGGCACCCAGTCTCCAGCTTGCACCACTTTAAACCAACACACCAGCTTACCATATTCAAAGGGTCAAGCTGGTGATATTATGATGTAATATACCGTACAATCTTGTGACATAAGAATATCTTGTAATCTTCAATGGTGATTTATTTGTTGATTGCCTATCTTGGGTTCATGGGTCAGTGGGTACGAGGGTACAGTCCCACCCCCACTCATGAGGCTCAATGGGATAGTCTAGTGGTGTCATCATCACTGAATTATTTCAGTTCAATTCAATTTCTGATGATAAAGCTAAAGAAAATACTTGTTGATTTTGTTATGACCACCGCTCACTTTGTTTCATCATTCATACGTATGCAGACACAAAAGCATGGAATAAATTCCCATTTTTTTTGTCGTAATTTATTCTAATTCAGAAAAGTTGACTTAGGAAGACCAGAGGATTTTGCTAAGATACATCGTATTGGAGCTCATTTTGTTTTCTCAATGTTTTGTTTGAACTGTTTGACCAATAGCTGCCAACTGGTTAACTATTATGAGTTGATCTTATGAAAGAACAGATGCCTAACAATTTGAAAGATAATTGATGGCATAGACAAAGATCGGATTACATGGCTAGACTAGTGTTTTGTGTTTTGTTTGATGGATAAAAAAGGGGGACATTAACTTGAAGTCACATGACCTGTGTGGTCTTGAAAGTTCTACACGAATACCAATTCACCATTCTGAGTTGAAAAAAATGAAAGAAAGACTGGTTTTATTGGAAACATTGTAGTTGAGATTTGATTCGAAACCCACACTACTTATGTATAGTTTATCAGAGGAAGGGCTCTTGTATGTAATGTGTGTGTCAACTCTACAGGGCCAGAAATTTCCTGCTGAAAGTGAAGATTATAACAGAACTACCGGAATTACTCACAAGTCACATGAAAATGGAAGCCTATTATGGAACCAATAGAAGTGTTTGGAGGAAATGGATGAAAACAACTTACATTAAAAAGAATATTGTTAAATATTCATAAGAATAGAAGTAGCATTAGGGGTTGGGCTGATGTAAATTCAATACTGGGTTGTTTTTTGTCGGTGAAGTGCAAAAACCCAACACTGAATGATTGTTATTTGTTAAATCAATGGTTTTTCTTCAGCAAAATATGAAGCTAAATTTCCTGGCGTTTGTTACATATTTTTTTGTACTTTGCATAATGTCATGTTCATTGCAATTGTGTAAGTTATGGGCCCCTCTATATCTTTTTTGGTCCTTAATTAAATCTTTTTTTTTTCCATTCCAAAATTACTTCTGCCACCTGAAACAGTCTCCTTCTTATTTCTAATTGCCCTATTTTTTTGCACTTTTGAACAGCATCTTTTGGTAGAAAATGTAATTTTCTTACAAATTTTTCAGTTAAACGCACTTCTCAGTTGAAGCCATGCAAATCAACAAGGTTTTGCGCATTCATGGTGCGTCGCAGTGATGGCAATTTTTTTTTTTCGTGTCGGTTTTACCACAAAATTTCCCCCCAAAAATCAAAACCCTGCCCTCTATCCATGACATTTCTGTTGTGGATTTTCGTTCTACACAATCGCCATGTTCATGATATTCCCTGGGCTAATGTGAAACAGGGTGGCAGACACAATATTTAACCCTAACCTCATCTAAAGCTACAACATACTAGCACTGTGTGCACAACACTCATAGTATTCTGTAGTACATGTACTCAGTTCTTTATCCGAAAGTAATGGCTAGGACGTTAGGGTTATGGCATCAATATCTACATGTACTCATGTTACATGTACATCTGAGCTGTTATTAGTGTAATGTTTGCCATTAGTAATGCATTTTTAGGCTTGGGAATCGTTCATGAATAGCACAGCTTAGATGTGCTGTATGTGAAAAATGACAAGTACATTTTGAAATGAAAGCAAGCAGGTGCAGTGTGATGAACAGTTAAAATCAAGCGATGGTATTTATACCAAAATGAATACTACATGTAGTAATATGCCTCTAGAAGGTTAATTCAAATTCAATAAATGAGTTATCTGCTAAATTGTAGTACTCGTATCGGAAAGAATGTAGTATCCAGACACCACTTCTTTGGTTGTGTACAAAGTCTAAGGAGAGTCAAGTGCATTTTCAAAGAATTTTCTAACAAAATTGGAAATGTTTGACAAGATTCATACATCTTGTCAACATTTTTACAGTGACTGACCTTCATTGAGATAATATATGATGAAAAAAGTGGTGTCAGGATGCAACATTCTTTCCCCAGTATCCACTACTAAAAATTACTAACTTTCAAAGGGGAGAAAAATCTTAAAGTGTCCACTATCCAACCAATTTTGTTTTTAACAACAGACATGACAGATAATGCAAGTTGCTGACATTATTTTGTTAGAAAAAAATGTTGCAACCTGATGCCATTTTTTCTTCAAAAACTTCATATGTCATCTTAACCCTAACCGAACCCAACCCATCAAAGCCCAACAGCAGGTTTTGTTTAAATCTGTTGGGATAGGTACAGTACCCCTAAACTGATGGTCTTTTACACTGGGGTTGGCATACCTCCAGAAACTAAGTCCAACAGTGTGTGTGTACGATTTCCCATGTGGGTGTTGGAATTTGCAAGAATGGGTACGGTTCCTAGTGAATTATGCTGGGGAGTTAGGGTTAATGAAGGTCATTCATTGCAAAAATGATGATAAGACATGAATCTGCGACTCAGAAATGTTTTCAATTTTGTTAGGAAATACTTAGAACAATTTCTTGACTCTCCCTAGACTTTGTACACAATCGCGGAAGTGGCGTCAGTTTGCAACTTTTTCCCTTTTGTTATTCTCTGATCTTTCAATTATGTTATGTGCCTGGCAACTAGGACTATTAAATCTTACTATACTAACTAAGTTATCGACATAAATATCATTATGAATACTTCCAGTTCAATTTGCAGGTTTGGTAGAACATGTAGCATGTGTAGACTTACATGTACATGACCTACATTATGTAAGACTGGGTATGTGCACAGTGTCATTTTGCTACATCTTGTGCAACACTGTGTGGAGATAAGTGCACTGAAAAAGTACATGCACTCCATTTTGGTATTCAAAGGTCAAACACAGTCACACTTGCAGGTTCAATCGAGGACACATATTTTGCCGATTGTCGATATTTGGCCGAGAAAACACGGCCAATATTCTCAAAATTCGGTACACGATTCCATGTATGAAATTTGTCATTCGACAGTTAAGGTTATAAGACATGTAAACCGGGTTCTGTGCCGTTATTTAGAGGGAAGACGAGGCAAAAGTTTTATGATTTATGGCGGTGGCGATGCTAATTGTGTTACCTCACATGACCCCGTCGTACGTGCAATGGTTATTGCAGCACGTAAACGACAGTATGCGCATACACACGACATCACCCAAAAACGAAGACCAGCAAAATTCAGCATCTCTCAAAACAACACAGAGTTTACTCACAATTAACCAACCACACTCACCAATACTGGACATACCGTCCATGATGGATGCCTTGCAGATGCCTCTGCCTTGGTGTAAGATCTAATTCCAAAATGTATGACGTGAAAATTGCCAATTAATAAAGCAATTCGAGGGATGTATTTCTGCAAAATTTCACATTGTCGTCCACTTGCGCTGTGCCAGGTCACGATGCCTCGCGCCAGTCTACCTAAGTCTGGTCGCAGACTCGACTATATAATTGCATGAAATGTGTCCACTATTGAATTGTTCTAAAAATAGGTCAAGTCTGGTTCCGATACGTCGGTGTTGAAAAATTTACGTGTGCTGTGTAAATTTATTGGCTTCCCACGCACATACAGGACCCGGAGATTTTTCGATTTTCATCTTTTTTTGTAACAGTGTGTTGCACCATGGAGGTAGATTATATAATAATCCAACCACATTGGATTTGTCAACAAAATAGAAAAATGTGTTGCTAGACTCTGTGTGAGATCCGATTTTGCCTTTTGTAATTAATACGTATAGGGGTCGAGTACTGGTAGCATATATAAATTTGTTTTCCTACGATGTGATCTTACCGATTCAGCGGCTGATACGTAGTGCATGGGGTGCTGATTTTCGATGCACTCCTAACGCCAGACCCGCCCGTAACTCCGATTTTATTTGGAATATTATTTATGTACATTTATTTCTCACACAGCAGCCCACTTTTTTACTGATTTCTTTTAAAATTAACCTTACCGAATATTCAAACACGCAATGTCTTCAAAATGTGATTTTTGTCCAGTTGTTTGCTACGCCGGACACATTCAAAATAGTGGCCTCATCGGGGTGGGGTGGAGGGGGCGGGGGTCTCGAGCCAAATCGTGGGGAAAGATATAAAGGTCTCACTACCGTGACAAATAAACAGACACACCTCACAAAGTGGATTTAAATTTACTTGAGGGGTACTTAATTCTATAGGGGTGTGTGTTGTGACCCCGACCCGACCACTGAAACGCACGTACCGGGACCAAATTGAACCATTACAACACAAAAAATCATCTAAGGTTATTGAAAGATACACTTAATAGTTATGAGTCAAACACGCAAATCTAATCTTAACAGAAGTTCTGTTAAAAGGGAGAAAAACAAGTGTCAACCATTTTTTCCCCCTTTTTAAGTATCAACCTCCAGTTAACATTGAACGGATGGGTGGGTGGAAGTAAATGTCCATTTCAATTTATTAGGTAATAAGCGGTTTCATGTTTTCTCTAGCTAGCTAGTCGCCTAAAAGTTTACGCGTACATTTGGTGACAGCGCTACTGTATACTACGGTCCGGATATTGTGAGTAACAATATTGCCTGAAATCAGGTCAAGCCGCCCTTGGAGAGGGTTTGGGCCCCGCCCACGATGCCCCGGGGGAATTTGATGGGGAGGTCCTGTAGAGTGATATCGGTGGTGGTGTCGAGTAAGGTGGCAGGCCAGGAAAATACACATGGCAGAAAGGGGTGGGTAAATTATACCCCCGGCAATTGGCCCGGGATAAAAGAGGAACCCTGGATTTCCCTCAGCAGGCTCAAACTTAACGTGTTCATTCTTGAACGAAAAAGGGAAATAACTTGAAGAAGGCGGGGTCAACTTCAAAAGAATGATGCAGTTGTGATGCACGTAAGATGGCAACTTGACATAATTAATTTAATAAGGATTATATACCTTCAGTTAAGAATCGGTGAACGTTGAGATAGGGGCCGAAACTGTCTTTAAAAAAATAAGACATCCTAAAATAGCCCCAACGTAAATAGCCTATGCCTGGCGCATTGCGTATATCCAATATATTATGACTCACTTATTCACTACCGCCGTACATACCGTGCACTTTATGACATTGAACTTTTGTTTGTTTTTTTGTTGGTCCCATGGTACCCAAATGCCATGCTCCAGTGTCACGATTTTGTTACAATATAGCACACGAGTTCATTTTTTTGCGCTTTTTTTTTTATACTTTTGTTGACGTGCGTGCGCCATGGGAGGTCAGAAAAAAACCCATAAAGTTAAATATTCTTTCAGGTTAAAGAGGGCGGTATACACAGATAGCCATTCCCAATTCCCAATTTTACCAGCCGCGCGATTATCTCTAGAACGTATGCACTACCTGACAGGAACGTTGTACGGGATCTCCGAAAGTCCAAAGCTGGCTTGACTTTTTATGAGGTTTCAATTTTTCCAGCTTTTGTGTTGTTTCAGTGACGGCAGTTGGGCAACTTACTCCGCCTAGGTATTATTTTGCTGATTTATTCATTGTTGGATTCAACTTATTTTATTTGACTTACTTATTTATGAATTAACTTATCGAATAGGAAAGGTTGTATTCTTATTTTTGGTGAAAATCTTATGACAAAATCAAAGCTTCAAATACATGCAGGCGCGGATCTAGAGGGGGAATTTTGGGGATCCAACCCCCCCCCCCCCCCCCGCTCTGACATTTTCTTATAACAATTATATTAATAATAATTACGTATATGTCCCCCTCTCATTCCTGGATCCGCCCCTGATATAACTCAGCTTGCTTCCACTTTCCCAAATTTCTTTCTTTGAAAAAAATATGCTCAGGTTTTGCCCCCCCCCCCCCAAAAAAAGAAATACCAGTTTAATAAAACATCTTTATCAAAAAAATCTCTAACATAGGGACGGATTCAGACGGGATTGACAAGACAATCATCAACAGCTCTTCAATCAATCAACAAGTCAACATGCAGCAAGTGGATCGAGCCACAATTTGCAAGCGGTGCCGGGCGGTCACCGTGCTCAGCTTCCTAGCACTTTTTTGTAGCAGCCCCCTATTAAATCTGCAAATGACATGTTGATGATTTTGCTCATCAATGTACGTGCTGCATGGTACTCCAATCTGGGACATAATATCAAAACCTCAAATATCATCCAAAAAATCTTGATTTAAACAAAGGCATCACTGTGACTTAATGGACATAACAAATAATGCGTTTGAAAAAAAAAAAAAAAAAAAATAATGCGTTTGTTTAGAAATGTCCTTTCATGTACTCCGTAGTTGGTTTCTCCCTCCACTGTATGTGTTATTCTTCAGCGTGCATCAAGCGGGATGCGGATTCGTAATCGGACCTTTAATCCGCCGGGTTAATTGTTTTTTCAGAGTCGTCTTGCATGATTTAACTTTTGTCCGTTTTTTTCGGCTCGCTGCCACAGTTTCTCGTAACTGCTCATCAAAATGTTTGCTGACACTATTCTTATTGTGTTTATATCGGTGTGTACAGCTTTGCTGTCGGAAGGTTTGTTGAAAATTGAAGTTCAAAATCCAATTTTGTACTTACAATTTACGAAGTGGCTATCGTTACGGCACTCGTTGTTTAGCGCCCTCTACGATATTTTTTTGGTGCGCACGCAGGTATATAATTATTTGTTTCCACACGTTTTATCGAGCAGTGCGCCAGCTCAGCCGATAGAGGGTAGGATTTTGCACCGCGAGGTTGCGGGTTCGGATCTCAGTTTTGCACTCGAATTTTTTTCCTTTTCTAACCTGAGGCTTTGGAGGATTTTTTTTAAAAGGGAAATAAAGTCCGAATTTCATAAAGTTCAAATTCACTTTTTTCCTTCTAATTTTATATTTTCTTGTCACGTTTTTTTATAAAAGTTGCCAGGTTGCAGTCTACCGTAACGATAGAAAATGGGAAATGCGTTACGGCTGCCGTAACAATAGCCACTGCGTACAATTTTACATACAATGACTTAAGAATAAGAAAATCGAAGTGGCTATCGTTACGGCAGCCGTTGTTTAGCGCCCTCCACGTTTTAGCGAGCAGTGTGACAGCTCAGTCGATAGAGGGTAGGATTTTGCACCGCGAGGTTGCGGGTTCGCATCTCAGTTTTGCACTTGATTTTTTTTCCTTTTCTAACTTTTCCTTTTCTAGGCTTTGGAGGATTTTTTTAAAAGGGCAATACAGTCCTAATTTCATATCGTTCAAATTCACTTTTTTCCTTCTAATTTTATATTTTCTTCTCATGTTTTTATAAAAGTTGCAGTACTACCGTAACGATAGAAAATGGGAAATGCGTTACGGCTGCCGTAACGATAGCCACTGTTTAAGAAAATGTCTTGACTCTCCATAGACTTTGTATACAACCGCTGAAGTCGCATCAGGTTGCAACATTTTTTCCTTTATTTCTTTCCTATTTCATGCAGGAATAACGTATGTACTTGTATACCGAACAGAGACCTACAAAAAGTTGAAAGCTGAGGTCGAAAAGCAAAGCAAGAAATGTAAGTAAAACTGAAACCAAATAAAAGATTTATATTACATGTATTAGGGCCTACATCGATGAATATACATACATATCCCAATAAATATGGAGAGCCTGACTTTTGACAAGGCTCCAGCAGATTTTTCTTGAACTTGGAAGTCCAATAATAACAATAATAATAAAAGTGTTAGCATGTCGTCTGTTTTGGAATTGATGACAAAAATAGAGCAATACGAAGGAGGAATTCAAAAATAAACAAAACATAAAATTTAACACAATTTGTTTGTATTCAGACAATCGTGTATCCTGGTGACGGAACAGCTGATTGTAATCTTTGTCACTCAGGAATTTGTTTGCTTTTATTTTTCATTAACAGTGGAAAAGACGAAAGAGCAGTATGGTGAGGTCAGTGACAAGGGACAGAAAAAGAAACTAGGTGAGTAAACTTAGGGTCTTTGCGTCCGGTGGGTCAGTATATGTTTAAGAGAAATACTTCACATTTCTACATAAATAGTGGTCCTGCAAAAATAACTTTCCAGCTATTTAAATTGGAGATAAGGAATTTTCTGCAACATTGTTTCCATAGAACGTCAGGAGGAGAAACTTAAGAACGACAGCAGAGACTTGTCCATGGTGAAGATGAAATCAATGGTCGTCATCGCCTTCACATTCACATCGCTCATGGGAATGTTCAACTCCATGTAAGTAACAACCTGAGAGTGAAGCTAAGTGGTTTTAATCTGAAGCCTAAGACTAGACTGTGGTACGTGTCCATTTTTTTGATGAGACTGACATGTGCCAGTCTATTTTCTTGTATTGCATGTTTTCAGTACCTCAAGTTTTGGCACTCTTATACACAGTACTGAGAGTCCCAAATTTTCAGACTATCCCCACCCCTAGGGCAACATTGTCAGTTTTTTTGTACTGAAAAAGACATAAAATTGTGACAAATTCTTGATTTATAAAGGGTTCACTGGATGGGGGAGGGCGACATTTGACAGGTAGGCCTATGTTTCAAACCTCACACACTTGTGAAATTAAATTGAAAATGAATGCTAGATGAAGCATTGTATGACTGTTGACAGCGTTGTCTTTTGACCTTAGATTTGATGGGAGGAATGTTGCTAAGTTACCATTTGAACCAATCTCCTGGCTACATGGCATCTCCCATCGGAATCTTCTCGGCAGCGATTACACGGACTGCTCCTTCATATTCCTCTACATTCTCTGCACAATGTCCATCAGACAGGTAGTCAAGGAAAATCCAAACTTCCAGTCAATTTTCCATTCATATCAAATTTGTTAAACCATTTTTTTAAAACTGGATTACCCATAACCACAACCGAGGAATAAAATGTCAAATTTTCTGTCATGCTTTAAAGCAGCCTTGCCTTGTTATCATTACTGCCTTTATTCGTACCTCCTTGCTTTTGTTTACACTTATTTGTATTGTTTCATGACTTCTTATACTTGTAATCTTGTCTCCTCTGGAGTTACATTGTCATATTCTCTGCATATGTTTGTTGCAAATCTTGGCCGAATAAATAATAATAATAAAGGGCCCATGCCATGTATTTTTTTTTATCATTGAAAATGCACCTTTGTGTCCCTTTAACCTTATTTTCAATTATTTTCAAGGGTATTTTAATGCCTTTTTGGTTTCTATGCTAATGCATATTTCCATATTCATGAGCAAAAGTGTTGATGTCATTTCAGGCAGAAACCTTAATGTTACAGTTAGTTCAGCACCGAAAGTTGTCAGAATTTTGGATATTTTGCTGCCATAACTTTTTCTTATCTGTGGTAACTTCTTGTTGTGTCAGTGCATGGCAGTAAGCTAATGAGCAAACTTTTCACACACATGTTTTCAATGAGCACATTTTTGGGTTCACCATTTGAACAGAAAACCCCTGAACAGTGTCTTCCTGAAATGACATCACAGCAACAGCGCCCTCAGTTGTCAGGAAAAACATGGACAATTTTAAATGTTTAAAGAAGTGTGCTTTTCAATACAATAAACCAAAACGGGATGTCAAATAGTTTTCATACATTTAAGAGAAGTAAAAAGTTGCACAAAATATGTTCCTAAGAAAAATTACATTTCATGGTCCCTTAAAAATGCATCAATGCACTCGTGTTGTTTATCTTCACAAACATTCGAAGTGAAACCGACATAATTTTTTATGCCATCTAAATTTTATTCCCAAAAGCTTATGGATAATGTAAATAAAAAAATGTATCTTCAATCAAAATTTAATATTTTTTTTTTTTCATTCTTTCTTGCAGAATATCCAGAAGCTGCTTGGGTTTGCACCGTCTAGGGCCGCAGCCAAACAATCTGGAGGATTCTTTGGACAGCAAATGCAGACATCAAAATAAATCAACTACTCTTTATTTTCTGCACAACGGTGAAGCTCTATTGTAACATGTTTTCTACAGCAGTGAATGTTTACTTCAACCTTTGAACTTTGACATGAGGTCATTTGGGCCTTCTTTCCATATAACACCCGATAGGATTTGCATCATTTGTGACCACTGAATTTTAATTACGTCTTGTTTTTCATATCTGTGACCTCGAGATACTGAACATGCCGTTTCCTTTTAAAGTGAATTTGTGGTAACAGGGTTACTGGAATTCATGTATTTATTGCAGTTTGCACTTGGTCATGGGGACTGCTGGCTCATTTTCAGGTTTTACATTTGCCAGCTATTTGTAGTTTTCTTTAAATGTGAAGTTCGTGGGTTTTATTTGGGGGGGGGGGGAATTTTTAAGATGCATCACCCTCAATATTTTAGTGTCAGTTGGCAGGACTCGAGTAATTGACGAGAAAATTAGATAGTGATATTCTCCATTGTTTAACGTTTAAAATTACAATTGAAATTTTACACTCATCCATTTTCCATTTAAAAAATATGTACTCTAAACGCTGTTTAAGTAATAAAATTTTGCAAGCAGAAAATGATTGAAATGGCTACATTAGTCTTTTAATAATTACCCATACATGTACATATATAAAGAGATAAGGTGGACATAAAATGTGATACAAGTAAATAAAGTGCCGTTTATTTACACTTTTCATTAAATTATAAGAAAATTTGAAAGTACAGCAATAGAAAAATGGCAACCCCAGTCAATTATGTTTGAAATATCCAGAAATGCATCAATAAAAATCAAGTCTCTTCTCAATTAAGTACCAATCAAAATTATAACCAAAAAATTAATTTGGGGAAAAAAAACAGCTCAAGGTAAAGACATTTTTGCTCGCTCTCCAAGTTTTCCTTTCCCTGAATTTAAATTACTGAAGAAAAGAAAGTTCTGCATCAAACACAACCATTGCTATCTGCAAACAATTTTCAGATTTTGCAGACAAAAAACTTTAGGCTTTTTAAGTCAATTTAGCAGTACTTTATACCTATTTCAGAACAGACTCAAGTTAATACACAAAGGAGAAATAGTGACCAACCCCCAAAACACTGAAAATCATTAATTTTATAAAAACAAAATACCTGACTTTATTTTCCCATTTTTTTATTTCACAAAAGCTTTCAGTAACAAAATAATTGGTTTCCTTAATACAGTGAAGCATGGAATTTTCATTGCTTGAATTACAATAATTGTACATGTCATAATAATGCACAAGTATTTACAGTGAACATCCATCTTTATCAATAACTTCCCGCCACCACCAATAAATATGAAAATGTAGTTAAACTACCAAACTAGCTAAGATCCAGATTACCACGGATTGTCAATTAATACATAAGAACAGGTTAGAGAGAGAGAAAAAAAAAAACCAGAACTCTGCTTGGCAAAGTTGTGAATAATCAGAAACAAATGCAAACAGCCTGATGACATTGAGGGCCTTTAATTTCATATCTGGGACGAGCTCCGAACAAGTTGCGGACACTGTATCGGGTATAAGTTCCAGGATTCTGAACAACTTCCCAGCAATCTTCCCGCAATGAAGTTATCAGTATGAAGCAGTTGCTCATGAAAGTTTCCCCGGAACATGTCTGGGACAAATGCAGAGCTTCTTTCTGACGAAAGTGAATGATTCTACCTGCAACTTATCCCCAGCTCATCCTAGATACGAAGTGAGGTGGACCCTTCTCTCACGATGGAAAACTGGTGGGACTGGCACAATACATAAAACTTGGTATTACTGTGCAACTAAAAATGTAGACACAATTTTCCTTATCACATACTTGGAATTTAGTTGCACCTTGTGAATCTTGCTTGTGTTTCTTTTCAAGAACTAGCTTGAAGTAAAACAGTGGAGTAGGCACTGTTAAAGTCACAACAGCTTTGGAAATTGAGCAGACTGTGCCGTTAAGTTTCATGATCCAATGTCTTTGATGAATACCACTCCACGTCTGTTCTTGTAGAGGTCTCAGTTTTGATTGGTACTCTTCACAATTATTGGAACTGTAGATAAACAGATGCAAAATGTGAGGGTACATGTAGGTGTTTAAGTTAAAAATACACTTCTGACGTTTTTCACTTGGGACTACAAGCAGACAGAATATAGATTGTCAACAACATGGCATTTTGAATAGCAACGATATTTGAGATTTCATTTTCAAATTTCATTTTAAAATACAGTCTCTTGCTGTAAAACATTTTCATCACTGGAAAAAAAATCTTATACATGAATAAGAAAAAAAGATATTGTAAAGTGCATTTACTTACTAAATATAATTAGAAGAATCACCACGACCACAATCAGTAACAGAAGTCTCATCTATGGAATGAAAAGAATAAAATGAAAATTCAAATAAGTGCAGTTCATTTCCAACAAAATCGCACGTTTTGTGAAACCAAAATCTGAATCCAACTTGATCCTAAGGCTACAGACAACTCTTGTTGTGTGTTTGAAGACAACTTGGATAAGCCAACCATTATCTGTTCATTATCCTCACTAAAAGACCAGACTGAAAACTCACTTAAGGTTGACAAAAACAGTGGGAGATATGGCATAGAAATCAGTATCGAGAAAATGAAGACCATGGTATCTGGCGGAGGGGAGCAGATCGATGTGTGCATAAGGGACTTCTACCTAGAACAAGTGGCAGAATTCGTCTACCTTGGTTTTGCTCAAACAGAAGACGGCACATCTCTCAAGGAGGTGAAAACACGAATTATCAAAGCTGCAGCTGCCCTAGCCAAACTGAAGACGATACGGCCTGACCGTAACATCTCCATGCCATCCAAACTCCACCTGCTTAGATCTTTGGTGATCTCAGTGTGTCTGTGTGCAGCAGCATCATCGGTGAATGCCGAGACCGAGAAACGAATCAACGTGTTTGAGCTCAGTTGCTACCGAAGACTTCTCAACATACACTACACGTCCAACACCACCAACATCAAGGTCAGAGAGCTGGTCGTCCAGTACATCGGACGCCAAGACAGCCTGCTTAGCTAAGAAGAGGATCTGGATTGATGACATCAAGGATTGGACGGGATGGAAGATCGGAGACCTGATCTGCTTCGCGGAGGACAGAAAAGCATGGTGCCACATAGTCAACAGTTCAGGGTCGCCCCAATGACCGCAGGCTGCAGGACATGATGATGATGACGATGATGATCCTATTTCGTCCGGCAAAAATTACCCTCAAGTGCATAGATGGTATCTTCCAAAACAAGTCATATGTAGATTTTGTAATATAGTATCTCGCCAAGCTCTTAATCCCCTCAATGAAAATCCCTAAATAATTTCACAGAACGGGATTATCTCTCCATAATCCAGACTAAATCTCATTTATCCTAATCTCTTACCTTGCACTCTTGCCACCAGAAGTGTGATCTCAAGCCTTTAGCACTGACCCTGAACATGCTGGCACTGTAGGCTAGATCATCTGAGATTGAAAAATAGATACAATTTGAAATCATCAAAATAAAACAAATGTTTCCACTTGTTACAGTACATTTTTGTGATGGATTTTGTAATTTTTTGTAATGGATGTGTAAAATGACATTGTTTGAAACTTTGTTTCCCTCAGACGTAACCAATGAATTGTTCGCCTTGGTGACTCTTTATTGGAATCTGAAAGACATTGTTATCTCCTGCCATCAACTTGTCAAACTGTGTCTGGTCGTAACCTTAGACATTCTCATCTTCTCGATCTCCCCCGTTCAAGGACCCAGAGGTATAAACAGTTACCGATTCCATTCATGGTCACACTGTTGAATGATTGTTCTTAATGTGTAATTGTATTTTTAATGCAATATTGTAGTAACAATTTGTTTGTAAGCCAACTTTTTCTGTTTTATTTCGTCATTACTGTTTTACTCTTGTATAAATTTGTTTTTAACTTGTAAATCAGACATTGTTAGTCTTTTGACATGCTGTTTGATATTCTTGTGTAATAAACCGTAATGAATGAATAATGAATGAATATGTAAAGTCTAACCTTCACTATTCACGGACAAACAAGTTAGCATGTCTGAACATACATGGATATTCTGTATAAATTATTTCTCAACAGATATTAAATATGAGGGTATAGTATGAATAATTACAAGCACAAAGCAATATATTATGTACATGTACTTTAAAACCACATGTGCAATTTGTAAATAATTTTCGGATGTGGTTTATCTGTTGAAGCAATCAATAGGCAATTTCTTGTCCCGTATTTTGCCCTTGTTCAACTATACTTATCTTCAAATTAGGTTTTGCCCTTCACCGACGTTTTAAACACTGTATACTCAGTGTGTTACCTCCCGAGTGAAAGTTGGAAAAAATACTTATCTTATTTTTCCAATTAGACTGTCATTTGACACAATATTTATTTTATCTTATTTTGGAGAGATGACTTGTTCTCAAAATCAGAAAGAACAAAATCTTCAAATTCCTCCAATTTTGTTCCCAATTCCAATGTACTTTCAGTTGGAATGATCGTACAGCGTCTTATCAAACATAAATTACATCTACTTTTTTCAATCACTGACATTTGTCATTTCATGTTCACTTAACTTTTTGTGCCAAGGATAGTTTATATTACTATACCTCATACATATTCATGATCGAGAGCCGAATTCTAACTGGTCCATTCATCATCACGTGCCAGATGCTATTTTTGTTGTTTACCAAGCGCGCACGCGAGGTTTCAAGCACAGGTTAAATACGAAAGTGTATAAGACTATCGCACTGGTTACCATTGCGCTAGTCTACTACGCATTGGCTTTACAAAGCAACCGTGGAACTAGCGCACAGGGCTAGTGGGCATGCGCGAACATTGCCTTCGCAGCATGCAGCAGCTACATGAAACAATGGGGCACACGCACAACAACATTTTGCCCAGAAAACTTACGCGTAACTTCATGAAATTTGTGAATATGTATGAGGTTTAGTAAAACAAATAAAACATGGTTTAGTTTGGGTGGATACTGGATAGTCGATATTAGCTCCCCTCGGTATTGGAAGTTGACAGACTTGTGCAGCTAGTTTGTCAACTTCCAATACTTCGGGGAGCTAATATCGACTATCCACCCTCAAACCATGTTTTATTTTGATCTTGTACATCAGACCTGATTTCTCTTGCAAATCTTCTAGTCTCTCTCCTCTGTCCAACACCTTGCCAATGTTATCATGCATTATGTCCACCACCTCCTCCACTTGCCTCTGTACACTGTAGAGGGGAAAAATATAAGCAATGAACATTTGTTAAATGAAAAAAAGAACACGAGTGATAATCAGGAATTAAAGGGAACTGGTATATTCTCACAACATGTAAGAACTTCAAGCCATTACTTTTAATACTATTTACTTACCATCCAAATAATTTAACTCAATACAAATGATAAATCTAGGTTCTAGAACTATAAATGCTTGTTTGATGTTTTCAAGATTTTACAGTGAGAAATAAAAAGAAATTCATTTTAGATCCTCCAAAAGTAAGTTTAATGAAATTTGTGAATACAAACTGTTGAATCTTTGGATCCTGCTGCATAACCTTCCTTGAAGGCGGAGTTTTGCCTCCAAAGAAATCCTCCTCGTCACTGACATCGTCATGGTACTCCCCTAGGAGATTCTCCTGTAAAGAGTGCAAATTAAATTTACAGATCTGGAATAAGTCTGATTGTCTGCGCTTCACATCTTTATCAACAATGGTAATCATTCATTTAATACATTGTTGTTGTCTTCAATATTTCAGAAAAATGTTCATATAGAATGCATACTTGTCTTCACAATTATTTTTATCATCATAATCATCATGAAATATTGATTATTGAATTTACAATATCATCGTCGCTATCATCAAAAGTTATTAAAACAGCAGGCCCAGACAGTTATGATGCTCAGCTCAGTGAGTCGATTTACCATCGTCATCATGTAGGAATAAGAACACAATGAAAACTTATCTGAAACTTTTACAAATGTAATATTACTTATTAATACATGTATTAGTACAAAATTAATAATAAACTTGCAATTTATTCACTTTCATCATGTTCATTCATATTCATTCATTCATTCATTCATTCATTCATTCATTCTTTAAATTTTAATTCCTTTAAACTCATTTATAGTCAATAATACCTTTTCATGTTCTTTAGACTGTTTATAGTCGGACTCTCGTAATCGCCGGTTAAACTTGGGTGGCATGATGACTCACTTCGCGATGACAAAGTCAAAAAGTTGATATTCTCCGTGTCATTTGGATCGATGCTCTTGCTGAATTTCCTGAAACAAGAGACGCATTGTTTTATGAAATTTAGTGCTCATGCCGCGCCATCGCAAATAAATACACATTTTAATTACGATAACCCTTTGTTCAACTTACCCAAACTAATGCAGACCCTGAGTAAGAAAAATCTCAATAAAGTGGATTCTTGAAGTCAAACATTTTATTTTCAGTGATTTACACAAGTCTCATGACAAGTCTCCTCCACTCTATTTTTGTAAACAGCGCCACCGCTCGTGGAAAGAGATCGTGCATGAGGTTGTTTATAGCGCCCTCTGTTGTGTAATTCTGGGCCATGCTGTGAAATTTATGAAAGTTGCAACTTGCACTTGCAGTACAAAAATGTATTTCTTCCCAATATATTGCGTTTAAATTCAACAGGAAAGACAAATTTGGGTAAGCTACAACTTTTTAATCGAAAAAGAGGAAAGATTTCCATATAAGAAATTCACTAATTTTCCTCTGTATTGACTAACAAGCCTCCAGATAGCAATTTCATGTCATCAAAGTCAATTTGAGCAGTGAGAAAATACAAGCATTTTCTTAGAAAACACTTAGAATTTTTCAGTCCAATCTCATAGGGTTTGTACACAGGGTGTTGAGTGAACTTCGTTTATGGAAATCTTTCCGAAAAAGAAATATCTGGAGGTATAACAGAGTGTGGAAAACACAATAGAAATGGAATTAATCAAAAATTGTACTGAACTAAACTAGTGATCAGGTGGTGATGTAAATGATCAAATTTGTATTAAAATTTAAATTGTGCCTAGATCGACTATCGTGCGGTGCCCCAAATTCGCGCTGCCTAATATTCGCGCAGCCTAATATTCGCGCAACCAACTTTCTCGGCTCGTATCTTTCTTCACACAACACGGACCGACGTCAAATCACCGTCGATGATCGATCGTCACATCGCCTATCTTCTCAATGCAGTTAATGAGTTATGCGGAAATCAAAAGCTTTTCCGAGAAGTAATTTGAAAGAAATAAAAGAGAGAGTCAATTATTGCCGTACTGACTACAGACTAGATACAAAATGTAACATTGAATGGCCCAGAAAACTAAAAAAACATCGCTACGAATTTCCAATCAGTGTCACCGTCCAACCCCGAAACGTGAAAGACAACTTCGGTCGACTTTCACTAAACAACAGAGGGCATAATCAGAATTAAGTAGCACGAAATCACCAATACGACGTGCGCCTTATAATATCGCGTCATTATTTTTATGATCTGTTTCGCTGAGATGCAAATTTCGGTACCAAGTTGTTTGCTGGAATGAATATGCTTTGAAAATTTTCTGTCGGAATAAGACCTAATCGTAATGTTTAAAGTACCCAAAAAGTAGGCAAATACCTATTTTTTTTTTTTTTTTAAATGATGTGTATCATGCAACCATGTTTCAAGGCGGCATGATCGGCCATGGTATGGTCGACCGCGTGCAGGCTCGCGCGCCTGTATAATTGATTAATTGATCGCAGGTGTATTAGAATGAGCTATAAATGCCAGAGAACATTGTTATACTAGAAAGGGTGGTGGTTTTGTTATGTTTTTGATGGAGGGGTCATTTCAAATATATTTGTCCATGTACTTAAAAATATAGCCACGGCATACTGTTGCATATGTTTCTATTTTTGGAGAATCTGTATAAATTTGTAAAATGTTATGTGATTGGCACATGGTTGATTAGGGCTATGGCATTTTAATAGTTGCAAAAACATCATTGCAAATCTCTGCCTGTCATTGCATGCATTGCCAGTTTAAATGTTCAAGCGTGCTAAAGGTTCAGGGATCGAATCCTGCACTGTGTATTTGGAAAGAATGTTGCATCCTGACGCCACCTCTTTGGTAATCATATTTCATTCTAGTTTTTGGGACTTATTACCTAAACTGTTTTCTGTGATATAAGCAGGAAAAATCACTTTATGTGTGTGGAGTGATGTAAATAGTTCACTAAGAGTACGATACCATGTTGAATATCAGCTAGATATAGTACATTCTGTGAGCATGATTGGTGGGGCTCTGTTGAAGTTTTATTGAGATATTTAAGTTACTCCTGCAACTAGTACATGCAGCAATGTCAAGTTGTCTCAAGTCGTTTTTACTTGGTCGAATTGTCTGACATCCCGCAATTTTTTTTCCTTGTTCTCTCTGATGTAATAATGTCCTTTACTTTTTAAGTTTTTTAATCAAATCGTTCTTTAAATTTTAGTAGATTTCTAATTTTTTTTTTTTTAATCACTTGCTTTAGAGAATTTTTTTTAAAGGGAAATAAAGTCCAAGAACGATTCAGGTGATAGTCTGGTTCCAACAGCCAAATATCCTGACTTTGAATGCTAAAGGGAACCAGACGGTTGATATAGATTGGCAAAGGTGTATTTGCAATGCCGTAACGATAGCAGTTGAAAACTGCGTTGCGACTGCCGTAACAATAGCCACTGCCTGGATTAAAATGTAGATATGGAAATATGATTGAATCGTTTTTCTAGAAATTGAAAAGTAAACTGGGTGAAAAGACACACAATCCATCAGGACAACTTACCATTTTTCCCTGTGCAGTAACTTGTACGTCTCCATTTTGTTTTGGTTTTCATAAATTGTAAAATGTCCATACCAGCATGCACACTGAACTGAGTTAACTTAACACACTGCACGTTTACTTTTCCAGATAGGCAATCGTATCTACATGTATGATGGCTGAGCCAGAAGCAGGTCCTGCAGAAAGGGAAGTGACAGTAAGTTTGTGGAAAACCATTTTATTTGATAAAAAAAACCATGTATTCTGGGGGAAAAAAATCAGGCTGGATTTATCCTTCTTAATCTCTGGCAGGAGCTTCTACAGGTCACTTAGTGGTCAGTCGGTCTGTCTGTCTGTCTGTCTGTCCCGAAAATTGACCAAAAGTATGGTGTTCCATATATGCCATCAGCGTCGCATTGTTCGGCTCTGGCAGGGATCTTTGTGCACTCGTACTTGTTATTTTGTACATAGAACCTGATAAATTTTGAATTTGAAGAAATATCAACACAGCTTTGAAGTGTGTCCAAAGCGACAGGAATTTACATATAGTGGAATCCGGCGACCAGAATGAGAAGCTTTTACTGGGGTGGTGTCACGCTCATGCACATGCTGCAGGCGTTTTTGTAGACGAGGCGCACACGCATTTTGGTGTTCCTTTTTGTCGAAAAAGCCCGGAGTGTGCGTGAACTACCTGAACACGACTCGTGCGAGAATAGTGCCACTGCAGAAAACGGCTGCCCGCAGGTTTTGTCTACATCTCATTGTCTGTTTTAATTTCATGTTTACAACGGACAGAGTGTAAATCCTTGAACTTCATTTATAATCTTGATACCAATATTCTTTCTCCTCATAGAATCTCCGCTTTCATCAGCTCACTCGTCTGCGGATATTTGACAAGAAACCAGAGACACTGACGCCTCAGCAACGATGTCAGTTATTGGCCGTCTCCAGTAAATATGGCTTCACGTTTGTAGGCTGTGATACAGGTAAGACTGGTGACACTGCAGTTCTTATTATATGGTTCTGCTCGGTGTAAATTATGGCTGAAAGAAATTGCATGCTACGAAGAAAAACTGTGATTAATAGTGAGTCACAAGTTTTATGAGTTTGTCGGTCTTGCTGAGCAAAACGTGAATGTGCTAAACCAATTTATGTGCTTATAGGTAATATGCAACATTTGCTTTTGCTGTAATTTTCAGAAATGGATGGATTTGGGATTGGTATTTTATAGCAAATATTGTTACACTGACCTATTTAAAATTTTGTGTTCATACATGCTGAGAAATATAACAAGAAAAAAATGCTGTTATTGTTGTCTGGTTCCTGACCCTACTTCAGACGAAACAGAGCAAGTTGTAGGTCAGGAAAACAAACTAGCTGGCTTTCAACCACTCACGGATGTGTAACTGATTGCAAACAAAATGTGGACTAACTACATTTAGTAAATTGAAAAAAAGTCTGGTCTTTTCCGACCATCGTTGGAAATTGATACAAAAATTCCAGTTTTCTTGAAAATGACACCACTGGTGCCATGATTACACAGGATGCTTGAGACTATTATGCACTTAAGAGTCAAGTAAGGTATTTCATAATTTTTGGTAGTTTTGTTTTTCGATGTTTTGCAAATGTTCTATATTATCTTTAATAGCTTTATGAAATTGGCCACTTTTTTTCAGTCCAGCATTTTAATTTCGAATTTTTCTTTGTCAGGTTTGAAGATCCTGAAAACTGCCGACATCAGCAAACTCAGTGACCAACACCAGGATAGTCCTAACACTGCAGGTGGGTTTGTTACGTCCAGTCTCCACATTTTGCTGTCTCGAATTGCGTGTAATTGAGCTTCACAAAAACACTAATTCAAATTTCACTCAGCAACAGTAATGAATGTAATTTGTCGTCAGCAAGTTGTGTCACTTTGAAGGTACCAGGATGCTCAAATGCATCACATAACAGATGTGGTTAGTTTGTAATTTACAGAGATGAAACCTCCGATTTTAATCCGAAAACCAACTTTTTGACTTTTCCCAACAAGTTTCCAATTTTGTAATGATTTGTCCCACAAAACTTGATTTTGTTTCCGCCGATTTTTTCACAATATGTGATTTTATTTAAAAAAGAAAAGGGATACTAAGTCCGAATTTCAGGCCAGGAAATTAATTCTGGTTAAAATAAGAGCATTTTGAAATTAGTGCGCGACATTGCAAAATTTTAGTACACGAGAACAAAGGAAGTGCCCTACTTCTATGCCTGTGTAAGCATGAGTGTACATGTACATGTGTAACTGCAACACGGCCCAGATTTCAGACATGTATTTTTGTTACGCTTTTTTCTGATTGTTCTCCCATATGCCAGTTTCATCCCTGAATTTATCACGAAGCGTGAGATTATGTGAAACTGTTGCTGTCTTTGACAAAGATCCTTCTGCTGTTGAACTTGAAAGGTTTCTGTCATGTTTTTTTTTTTCAGCTAAAGATTACCCATGCTTGAAGGTCACACTGAGCGCTAACGCTCAACCCGTGAACTTGGCATTGAGCCCCGATGATCTCATATTGTCAGTATGCTACATGACCGATAGTGGCCTCTTGATGGCGCTGTTTGACGTCCGGACTCTAGTGTACAAGGTAAATATAATAAGGCACAAAGACATTTTTCAGTGACATGCTAACAACTAATCTGTTGTCTCCAACAATCCTGCAGTGATGTAAGTGTATGACTAGGTTTGAACCACACCCATTTTCACCATATTTGGTCGTTACAGAGCATCAATGCAAAACCGTTCGCCACGGCAACCCTCTCCAAGGAGACAGACTGCCAATTGGTCAACCTTCTCTGGAATCCAGGCAACCCAACCTTCTTTGCCACATGCCTGTCAGACGGCAACCTGGCATTGTGGGATTACTCGGGGGACAGCTTGCAAATGACTTATCTGCTACCTAGTGATGTTGAGCCAACCGCAAGTAAGTTTGGTCAAGATATGCAATCAAACGTGTTCATGCCTCTACAAATGCTGTTCAATTCTAAATTGATGAATTTAACCAGACAATTTCGTCCATGTAACGGTAAAAATTATCTGCATTCTGTGCATGTATTTCGAATTCAAAAACAGCTAAACAAAGTTACCTTGAGGTAGAAGAAATAACCTTTATTCTTTATAGAATTGAATTTGTTAAAGAAACTTCTATAAAGTTGCAGCATAAAGCTATGTTTTTCTGGCACTAGTATTTGTGTTGCCAACCGCCTGACATTTGACATCAGTAAATTATTATTTGAATTAACATATGTACAATGTGCTGTGAATATTATTTCCATCTATCCATTTTTTAGCTGTTCTCAGTTTCAATTGGAAAAAGGTTTTGTTTTTGTTAACATTATTTTTCCCTCCGTTTTCATTCTACAAGCCATTTTGGGAACTTCCTTTTTTTTTAAATGACAACTTTAAACTTTGCATAGTCATTAACACTAACCTTGCCAAATCCTCCAAAATCCTCTTTGCAAAATGGAGGATTTTGCAGGATTGAGGCTATAATGGCAAAAGTGTGTGGCTGATTTTGGAGGATGCACTGTTTCAAGGTCTTGGGCCGGACCTTGTGTTGTTTATGCTCAGCTGTGCATAAATTTAGACCTAGATTATACTTGAAATCCTCCGCACTGCTCCAGGATGTCACTGGCTCTGCCTCAACATATTGACAGTGATTGCTGGAGGATTTTGCAGGATTGAGGCAGTAGTCACCCCTCCAAGGACCACATTCAAGAAATAAAGGAGGATTTTGCAGGATTGAGGCTGTATGCAATTTTTACAAGCAGGCAGTCGGAGGATTTTGCAGGATTGAGGTTGCATCTTAGCAAAATACCGAGGGAGTTGAGGTTAAACAAGTTTGTACTGTCAATTATAGACAATCAAAAACATTTTGGGAACAGCTTTGTGGTTGTTCAGTTACAACCACTATCTCTAGTTTCATTATTCTTGACTTTTTTCCAAGCTGTAGTGTAATAATTCCCATTTAATCTGTGAGCTGAGTTTACTCCTCGATTCTCTCACACAGTGTGTTGGAGCCCCAAGGGCAAGCAGATCGTTGTAGGGACGTCATCCGGTAAACTGATTCAGTATAATCTGAAACTAGAGCAGAAAAAGCTGATATCCCCTCCAGACTTCAGTGAACCAACCAAAGGTGAGCATTCAAATCACTCATTTGCATGTCAAAATCAAGCTGGATGGGTCATTGGCTGTTTCAAGCTATGCAAATAAGTTGCTTTATTGTAGGCTTAATTTGACCAATGACAGAGTGAATGTAGTTTATGAATATTCATGGTTGCAGTTTCATAAATATGTTGTGCAGGAAATGGGGCAACCATTTATTTTGTTGTCAAAGTTTGGCTAAGAAGGTGTAGAGTCTTAGTGTATTTTGGCTGCCCTGGTTTCCGTTATGACTGAGAACAACTTAAATGGATACGTTCTAAAAGATGTTTGGAATATGTTGCCATTGTAGGGAAACAGCTATTTTTAAAAACATTTTAGAATAATCTAGGGTCTTCATTTTTGATATTACGTCCAAAATCACGTGACCCTTCCTTCCAGTTGAAACCATAAGTGCCTTGTAATATAAAATTGGTAAAAGATGCGAACTTGCTTTCAACGATGTATGCTCTGGCTAATTTGTTCTTTACAAAAAAAAAATAACGGTGACGTCATAAAATGTTGAAGCATCCTGTAGCAGCAGATTGTTATAGATGATTATAGTTGAAAATTGATGTGATGTCATCATGACATCATCACGTAACATGTGACGTCATAATTCAAAGCCCTATGAGAATGTAATCACAAAATATATGCCACCATTTATTATAAACAGAACTGCACATCCTTCCTTGATGGAACTTATACTTGAAACTTTACATGTCACATGTCACAAAAAGTTACCGAAACAGCCCTGTGTTTGTCCACAAACATAAGTCTAGTTTCAATTGTTTTTCATACTGTTTTAGATACGTTATTTAGTATTAGTGAATTTTTGTTTTGGCGTTGTAGTTGTGGATATACTGTGGCTGTCCACCTACGTCTTTGCCGTGGCCTACATTGATGCTGAAGAGACCCTTCAACCAAACCTCACCATTGTCAATGCACCTGTAAGTAATCATCAACCCTAACCCCCTAGTACTTCCTCAGGACTACCCTGCTACATCCAACAGAGTCCAACCAGACTTTCCTGCTCAATCCACTGTGCCTCATTTTCAGTTGTCTGCTGAATCCAACGGAGTCCAACAATGCGTTATAATGCGGTTCAGTTGCCTGCTGAATCCAACATTTTGCATGAGGAATGTACACAAGGGGTTGTTAACTGCTCAATCCAACAGGCTCCATCGGGTATGTGACATAGTTGGATCCTGTTGGATTCAGCAGGGTTAGGGAGATGAAATTTTCTTGGGAACACATTTTGTGCCCCTCTTTCTACTCCTCTTAAATGTATGAAAACAATTTGACATCCCTTTTTCAGTTAATTTTATTGAAAAGTGCATTTCTTTAAATGTTCCCTGCTCTTTTTTTTTGGACAACTGAGGGCGCTGTTGCTGCGATGTCATTTCAGGAAGACACTGTTCAGTTAGGGGTTTTCTGTTCAAATTGTGAATCAAAAAATTGCTTATGTGAGAAAAGTTTGCTCATTGGCCTAGTGCCATGTACTGACACAACATCGAATCACCAAAGAAAAGAAAAAAATCATGGCAGCCAAATATCCAAAAGTTCTGGGAACTTTTTGTTCTGAATATAGGGGTGACATTGAGGTTTTTGCCTGAAATGACATCACATTTATGCTCATGAATATGGAAATTCACTTAAGCATCAAAAAACAAAAAGACACCAAAATACCCTTGAAAATGGCAAAACCAAAATTGAAAATAAGGTTAACTGGCACAAAAAGGTACATTTTCAGGGATTGCATTATAAAAATAAGGTGTTTCATGGCAATATGCGCCATCTTGTCAACGGGGCAATTTTACACGTGTTGCTGTGTATGTATCATCAATGCAAAACATTTGCGTTTCCAAGTCATCATGCGGTCATTCCAAAATGCGCTCGCGTCTAGCAATGCGTGTTCTTTTTTGCCCCGTGAACAAGATGGCGCATATTACCATGAAACTGCTTATTACATTGCATGCTCCCATTAAGATGTCTTTAAATGTCTGGAAACTAATTGATCCAACAGTTACTCTGCATTCAATCTTAATTTGGAAGTGAGTGATAGTTGTTCTTTGACCCCATTTCATTATAGAAAGAAGGCCGGCCAACCTATTCCAACTTTGAAGACGTGTGTTACGGCAGCGGGGAAACCAGGACTGCACAGTACCAACTGCTAAATGCTGGACTGCTGGAGAAATGGTAAGTAGTGTCAGTCGGCCTGTGAATGTTGAACAACACAGACTAGTGTAGCATTCAATTTGGGTTGATACTCGCCGTTTTGGAAAGTCAGTTATTTTCAAGACTGCTGCAGTTTTTTTTGGTTTATATGTACATGGGCAACTCAAGCGTTATGTAATGTCCGTGACAGAGCTTTGATAAGCTGAGTGAGTACACCTGAAAATGTGTTTTTCCAATCTTATAGGTCTCGTTCAAATGATGTCATTTCCGACAGACTAGCCACGTGCATCGGCATTTTGACCATCAACTTGCATAACGCGCATCAGCTACGTCGTATTTGGAACACATTTCGAGCAACAAGCGCGCATGATTGGAACATTTTCAACTCCATGCAATGCGTGCTTGATTGCGTAAAATACGCTATTGCAGTTCTTCTACAGAGATAGCCATCATTGAGCGAGCCCTATACATCCATCATCTAGTAATGGTCAAGGAGATTACAGACCAGGAGTTTTGGATCATTTCTTGGAATCTCGAACCCTCCTGCTATTTAAACAGTCACAGACAGTCAAAATTTCCATCCACTTCCCCATTTATACTTTTAACGCAGGCTAGTCATCAGCTGTCAGATCATATGTCAAGCAAGCACTGTGACTGGTCAAACTCAGTCAACAGACATGAACAGACAAAGCAGGCAATTGTGGGCACCGCTGGCTTATCAATTACACCCAGCCAAAGCAAAGCTGTACCAAGTTACATAATAAGTCTCAACCAGTGAATCCTGGGCCCAATTTCATAGCGCTGCTTAACAGCCGACTTTGTGCTTACCGAGCCTCCATCTATTTAATAGGGACCGTTAAGCAGTAAGCACATCAAAAGCATGCTTAACCCCAGAAGGAAACTTTGCTTAAATCAGTGACGTAACAATAGAAATCTCCATGCAGGTGCAACCGTTAGCATGAAATAGTGCTTAAGCAGCAGCATGATTTTCTGCTATACCGTAATTTCCTGCGGATAAGGCGCGCGGCGGATAAGGCGCAGGTCCCTAAAATCACCCAAAAAAAATTCAAACGCCAACAGATAAGGCGCACCGCCGCATAAGACGCATGTTTGACCGCACACAGAAGAACACCAGGCGTCACCCGGTGTCGGTATATCGCCACAAAGGGGCCATTGTGTTGCCTTAGAACGATCACACTATTCGGAGGATGAATTAAGCCGTGTCCGCACTGGACTTTTTTTTTTGGAAGGTTTTACCGAGACGATAGTAAAATGAGAAATGGTCAAATGTGACCACTGTCCGCAAATTTACCCAGACCGCGTGGGAGAAGTAACCGAGCTGTCACAGTGTCAGTACAATTACTCACCGTACACAGAAAACAAATTGCCGATCACATTTTCAGCCGCCGATACGCACAGTAATATTACACACGCCATTTGCATGCACAACATAATCGTTTACACGATATTATTTCATCTTGACACGCTAAATCTTGACGAAAAGGCCTGTAATTCTGACGGATTTGTGATGCACGTCGTCGAAGCCATGCCGCTGTACGATATTCCGTGCGGCAGCAGTGCCATCAGTATTCGTTGGTTCCCATCGCATGCTTACAGAATCGAAGCTATGATGTGGGCCAGGAACCAGTGACTACGGCCTACATACGGTACCGGACCATGATGTTCCGTGCATGACTACAGTAGCGTATCAGGACGAATTTGGATCGTAGAAAATAACATACATCGGTGAAGAAAGAGAATTTCCGCAAATTAATTCTCAGAACGTGATCTCTCTTCTCTGTGTATGTATTTGTCCGTTGAAATATATATTTTAACGAGATTTTACCGCTCGGACTTGATGATACACCGCAGCGTGTTTCTACAAAATGTTCGGCCACACGTGCACTGAGGTTCGCGCGGTCTCTGTATGCATAACCTGGCGCTCGGGCCGGAAGTACGCTTTCCTGAGCCGCTTTTACCGACTCGCACTGTTTTCATCTTGATCTTCAGGCTTGCAGACTTCGAAGATATCCTGTACAATAAACACCCTCAACGTTCACACAATAGAACTTGAGTGAATGCGATTTCCAAACGTTTAAGTAATTCTGATTGCAGCATTTTCGGAATGAAAAAACGGCCACAAAGAAAAACGTTTGTATGACGGCATTGTTGGAACGAAAGCACGATCACTAAGGGGATCAACTCATTGCGGCATTGTTGGAAGGAAAGCACGATCATGGGGGATCAACACATCGCGGCATTGTTGGAATGAAAATACGGTCACAATGTCTGGAGAGTTGAGCCTCGGTTGACCGCATTATTGATTGCGGCATTGAAAGAATTCTTCACACAAAGACCGTCACTTGGAACTCAAGCGACACCAGATAAGGCGCACCTGTAGATAAGGCGCAGCGATGTTTTTGTGGTCTGGAAAGTCAGATAAGACGCGTCTTATCCGCAGGAAATTACGGTAGTAAGCACAACTTTCCTGCTTACTGTTAAGCAGTGCCATGCAATTGGGCCCTGCTTTATGTAGGCTGGGAATTCTTAACTGTTGAAAACAGTCACTTGTTTGATTTTGACTGCAAGGACCACTTTGCACAGAATGTATGTTTGCATAGGAGGGTTAATTAGATATCATGGTTAATTGGCTCTGTCATGGACATTACACTTCCTTTCATAATGCTGGGATTGTCCACATGCAGGTTGCATCTATTTGAGTTTATTATTGACCAGTTATGAGTTGACTCAAGGCTTCTGTCCTTTTGGTTTCTCGGTTGACAGGAGTTTCATACTAGCCACGTCCAGCAACTCTATGGAAGCGGCCGTGATTGGTCAGTCGCGAGAGGACAGAGCATCATGGGAGATCTGGACGGTGGACGACGCAGCCCGCATTGAGATGCCCCTGAGTGGGGACGATGAGGACACATTCCCTATGGGATTAGCACTGGACCTATCATCAGAAACAGATGTCAAAATTGGTGAGCTCAACCTCATCAATATTCAAACCTTTGGAGGTCCCCCCCCCCAAACAAAAATTATTTTAAGGGGCCATTCTGAATAGTCAATGTTTAAACATGTCAATGTTTTTTCAAAATTGTTTTGACCCACCCACCCACCCCTAATTTCGATGTTTAAATGTTGAATGACTATTCAATATATCCTATACACTGAAGAATGAAAATATGCCTCAATTAGGGATGCGGAGGTCGACTATAAACAAGGTTAACAGATGACAACAGAACAACGCAGACATGACAGACAATCTCCAAGAGGCCACTGGGTATTTTGGATTTTTTTCCCCTTCATCTTTTATTTTTTTTTTTCCCTATTTTTTTAATTGAAAACTGAATTCCGATTTTCAGTTATTTCCTTTGACCCACCCACAATTTCGAAAAAAATCATCAACAGTTTTTAACACTGACTTTTCTGCATGGCCCCTACCTGATAGCTTGTTAAAATGGGTACTGTTAAATTCTCTTACAAAAAGTAACAACATTAGAAGTTATGGAAATCCTTCTCTATTATTTATTAACATCTTATTATAAGCCCTAACTCTCTCCTTACTTTTACTAAGTAAACGACCATGTCCATCAAAAATGCATCTCTCGCTCAGCTTCACATACATGACATAACAAAATCCACCACTGAATTGCTCGTGGATTTTGATGGACTTCATACACATATGACTACAGCAGCTTATATGACAACAGCAGTACTGGATGCTAGGCAAAATTCATTTAATTCCCCAACCGTGCTTCAGGCCTCCTGGCCCAAGCCCATCATACTCCATCACTATTAAGTCGAACCAGGCCAGCAGGACCAAGTCCCCCAAAATCCAACTAAATGGGGGATGGATTTTGATGGAGTTGGTAAGGTAAGGGTTAAATTGTAACTGTGCAGATAGTGAAAATATAGAATGATTTTAATGTTATTAAGAGTTATTTGGTGTTTTTTTCTAATGATGAAGTGAAACACTTTCCTTTTTTTTGTGTAGGAACGACGAATTACCAAGCCCCTCCGATCGTTATGGTACTGTCCACCGAGGGTGTGCTGTGTCCATTCTACATTCTGAATTCTGATGCAACAGTGCCCATCACCAGCAAGGCTGAACCATTGCCTCGAGAGGGGGAGAGAGTTGCAAGTGGTGGGTAACAAGAAACCAAAAAATCCGTAGTTTTACTTTCCTTATGCAAGTACCGAAACAAATGCTTTCTTTGATTTCCAAAATTTCAAATTAAAATTTAAGATAACTCTACTTACTAAAGTATGCATTTAGTTGAGTCCCTTTCATTGCAAAGTTTGAACAATTATAATGGATAATGACAAAAGTGAACACACTTGTTGCAATAATTACAGTTTGAATTAGTTGATTACCATATTTAACCCATATTTTACTGATTAAGTATGCAAGACACCCGCCTCTTGGCCTCTTGACCTCTAGATTTTGACCAATCAGCAGGCGCTTTCTATATCTCATCATGGATATCTATAAATAAAACCTAGACACACTGTGATTTGAGCAAAAAGAGTCTGCGGTCACGCGCTCTGTAACAATATGTAACAGATATGCTGGCAATAATAGAGCCGGCCAATCACAGTCGTGTCTAGGTTTTGTAGACACTGCATCCAAATCGACCAATCACAGTTTTAGTCCTGATTTGGGAATGAAATGATGTGACAAACTAGTAAAGTCAACTCCGATTGGCTGGCACGCGGCGTCGCATAAATTTGCATTCCTAGATATATCAGACGTTTGACCGAAGATAGGGCTCTGTGGAGAACGGATGATAATCAGACAAGGTTAACTAGAGGATATGTCACATTTTCATTGAACCTCAAACCTACGCATACGTTTGATTGTACTTAGTATTTCTTTGCTTTGGTTTGCAGGGCAAGCGGTAGGCCTACCTAGTCAGACTCAAGCCAGCAAGCCAGCAGCTGCTCCAGACACAGCAAAGTAAGGATGCTTCTGATGCCTATCTCTCAAATCTCTACTGAAGGCCTAGCAGGGTCTCTCTTTTCATCGAAATAACGTGCATAAATTTACTTGAAATTCAGTGCTCATTTTTCTTTGCAAGTAATTAATATTTCAAGCTGGAAAAAGTAGCGGTGCTGAATGTTTTTAAGTTATTCTTCGCTTGCACCCATTCAGCCTTGGTTTTAAAATGAGGATGTGGTACGGAGTATCCTGTACATGTACTGTTGGTTATAGGTTGGGTTGGGGCTAATGTTATTCATTGATTGACAGTGAAATTTCAATGTTCTTTGTTTCACCCCAGGCCGACTACAAGTTTCACAGCCGCCCTCCCCATCCACAAGTCCTCCAGCACGGGTAGTTTCCCCCTCGGTTCCTCCTCCTCCTCCTCCTCTACCCCCACTGGCTCTTCCGATCGCAGTGCCAGTTTCTCCTTCGCTGGCCCAAAACCTCTGGGTAGCCCTGCGGCGCCCAGCTTCGTTTCCGGCGGGATTTTCAACAGACCTGATGCAGGTGGTAGCGGCGGTAACGCTTCCTTCATGTTTGGTAAGACGGCAGACGGCAAGAGTGGAAGCGCGTCGTTCCTACCGCCCAAGCAATCCCCTGCTAGTACGAACCTGGCCCCAACGACACCTTCTCCTGGTGCTGCTCCTTTCCAATTCAAGGTATGTCTTTACTTCTCCAATGCTATCTGGCCGTTTGGACCAAAGAGATTCTTTCCTTAGGTGATTTTTTTATGGCATGTTTTTTTTTTTTTTCCAAATAAAATCAGGTTCCCGGAGCCCAAGACACAACAGAGAAAGGCTTACCTATCCAGCAACCGGCATCAGCCCAAGCCACACCCCAGTTCAGATTGCCGGGCCAATCAGTATCTAGTGTCTCGCCATTGGCATCTGGTACCCAGAATTCCACTGCTCCAGCCTCTGCATTTGCTATCACTCAACAGAAGACTGCTTTAGATGCTGCAAGCACTTTTGGTGGTGGTGGTGAGAGACGTCTTTTACTCTTTGATATAAAAAAAATCCATTTCGGAGGGAAGATGTTACATACAGAAACAAATAACAGTACATAGAATCGTAGCAAATTCTTTTTTTCTTTCCTTGTAATGACTCTAATTGTATTTTTTGTACCATTAACAGGCATGCTGCCACAAACAGATAGTGTTAAGGCCTCCGGCTCAGCTCGATTTGGCCAGCCACAGCCTGGACAAGTGCCTGTTTCTGGGAAGCCTGCCCCTAGCCAAGCCCTCCCCACAGCACAAACTGCCCCTCCACCGGGGGGTGCCCCACCAAATCAGATTGCTCCACCTCGTACCGGCCCGGCCCCTAATCAAGTCACTCCAGGCTTTGCCCAAAACCAAATCGCCCCACGCTTTGCCCCAAACCAAGTCGCCCCTGGTGCGCCCCCTAACCAAGTTGCCCCTCAGCAGGGTTACCCATATCAAGTCGCACCTCCTGGTGCCATTTCTAAGCCCCCTCCCCCGGCATACAGTGCCAGCCAGCCTCAGCGTCAGGCTGTGCCAGAGACCAAACCACCTCCCCCTGTGCAAGCACCATCTACTGAAGCATCTACTGCAAGGACTGGAGGCCGAACCAGAGGGAGTGGTTCCATCGATGCTACTCATGTGGAGGCAGCCTGTCTCTCCAACATCAGTGCAGAGGTAAAGAACTCTGAACAGAAACTGTGCACTGGCTGTACTTTCCGAAACTATAATTCTCCTTTCAGTGTGCGATAACTTACTTGTATGCAAAGTAGCAAAAACAAAATTGGATTTTCTTGTTCACAATTAGATGGAGCATCTAACGAAAGAGTTGGCAGAGCTACAAAGCCACACTAGGAGGACGCACTTCAGAGTTGGAGAGCGCTCAGAACATGAATACATCAAGAAGAACACCGATGACTTAGTCAAGTTTAGAGCTGAAGTACGGGTTGTAACTAAGGTAATAACTGCACTATTTTGTTAAGCCTTATTTTGTTGGCCATTTTTGTGCTTGTTTGCTTTTGTCTTTTCTTAATGGGCCTCAAATGTTACTACCCCTGCTCAACTCGGTTAAAAGGCCTTTTAGAAGGCACTTTTAACTTTTGAGGGTTGAACGTTAGTGGAAGAAAAATTATTGTCTGGTTACTCGCAGTCTCACAATGAGGAAATCCATGAACTGAAGAGCAAGCTCCTGACTACCTTCGCTCAGTGTGAGGACGCCCGCACCTTCAAACAGCGCAACAGCAACCCGCGCTACCTGCAGCTGCTTCGCATACGAGGACTAGACCCACAGACGTCACAACAGCTACGAAATATACAAAGCAACTATCACTACCTGGAAACGGGGCTTGGGGATGTGAACGGATGCCTGGATGCCCAGTGGGAGGAGTTCCATCAAAGGAAGAGCCGCAGAGAAGGCAGGTAAGAAAGCATTGAATATGCATGTCTTTGGTGTATATGGGGAGGAGTTCCATCAGTAGAAGAGCAGCTGGGAAGCCTGGTAAGGGCAAATGAATATTGATACCTTTGGTTTACTGTGGGAGGAGTTCCATCAGTGGAAGAGCCACAGAGAAGGCAGGTAAGGTACTAATGAATATGCATATCTTTGACTTACTGTGGGAGGAGTTCCATCAGTGTAAGAGCTGCAGGGAAGGTAAGTAAGAGTGCCAATGAATATGCATTCTTTGGTATACTGTGGGAGGAGATTCACCAATGGAGAGTGGCAGGCAAGGGAGTAAGTCGGTTATGAATATGCATATTTTGGTTAAACTGTGGGAGGAGTTCCATCAGTTGAGACACAACAAAAATATAGGGTTTACAGAAGATATTTTGTCTCACAATTCAGGAAGCTCGGTACCCCAACAATGGACACCATCTATCAGACCCTGAGTCATCACTACAACATCATGATCGCCCAGCGAGGCAAACTGGAGGAATTGAGACAGCAGTTGATACAAGCAAGACGTTATGACATCACTAAGGCACCGTGGGAGAAAGGCATACTAGCCTCACCTCCAGACAGGTACGACTTGTCGGCAGAGATTCTCAAAATAGCCTGGCAACTGGTTGTACTGAAATTGAAAGGCGCAAAGTTTGGGCTAAATTGGTGCAGATTTGGTTCCAATTTAAGTAGAAAATTGGTTTCCAGATGCACAACATTCCAAATTGCTGTCGGAAATTCAGCCCTGTTTGGAAATTTGCAGAATCTGCTTCATGAGGTTCAAAGTCCTAGCAATGTGTAGTTTTGGGCAATGTGTAAATTGAGTAGTTGGTATCTACTATGGCAAAGCGGTACTTTCCTCGCCTTCCACCACTGTGACCCGGGTTTGATTCCTACCTGGGCCAATATGTGGATTGGGTTTTCAGTCCCTACCTGATTCCCTGAGTTTTCCTCAGAATATTCTTCTGGGCTTTTCCTCCCACCTCTAAAACTGTAATTTCTTCACATTGTCTTCCCTTTACTGGGCCCCATGGGAGATCAGTGGATTCCACTGAATGGGCTACCCAGTTAAAATAAGAAATAAAAAAATAAAAAAAATATGGCTTCAGCTATTACTGGTACACTGCGATGAAAAGCTGTAGCCATCGACAATCTCAAAATATACCCAAATTTGTGTGGATGTGTTTCTCTTGCGCAGGTCTGGTGACCTGACTTCTCTTGCTGCTAAACTATCAAGTACTCGGATTGCATCCCCTGTCAAGGCCATAAGCACACCAGGTAAAAAACAACCAGTTTTCATATTAACTTAAGTGTATTCTTAATTTCCTGAACATTTCGAATATTTTGAAATTGTTCTTTTGTCAGGGTTATCATAAATAATTACAATAATCAAAGTTGTAAATAAAACTCCTGTTTTATTTTCACAGTTTCCAGCAAGAAACAAGCCCAGTTGAGAAAGGCTCTGTCTAGAAGAGCCACGACCCCAAGACGCACCGCATCCAGAGGTAAATAGTCCCATTGCTGAATTTCTCTTCCTTGGTACAGGTCTTGTAGAGTTCCTTAAAGGCAGAGTAGATCAGTTGTCATTTTTGCTCAAAATCTAAAGATGGGTGCTTAACAACTAACCTGATGAGGTTTTAGCTCTGTGAATGCTGTATATTCGAAGAAAGCAATATTATAGGATCTCTATTTCAATTCAAAAGTTGCCGAGTCTTATTTTGAATTACGCCCAAAATCGGCATCCGGAACACGTTCTCAGTCAGCCGATTGCAGCTACGTGATGCCACGCATTGAACCGATGAATAATAGCAAACGTTTGCAAAGTGTCAACACTGCACACCCATTCACGGATTTGCCCAATTATAAGCAAACTGATACGGAAATTTCCAAAAATGCATCACTTAACTCATCTTGGGAAATGACCTTCTTTTGTTATCCTCAAAATGACAGCATACCAGAAAGAATAATTTTACAGGGAGTTTAGTGCCATTACTATCTTTAAACCAAGTAAGCTTTTTACCAATAACTTGGTCAGTTACTTTTTGGAAAGCTGCAAAATTAGAAAAATATAAGCATGTTCTGTTGCTGCATCATAATGAAATTATCTCCGACGTCACTTTCTCCACAGTGGATATATCCCTCATTGATTCCCCAGCCCCAAGCCACGGGTCTCATGAAAACCTCTACCCGGTCTTTGCCAACCGTCGCCTTCAGTACCAAGACGAGGAATCCACAGTGGCACAGCCGGCTAGCAGAGAGACTCGCGATGCAGCAGATGCCCCGTATATCCGGACAGTACCAGGCTTTGTCCAGGCTAGGCTGGGAAGTGGAATCATGGCACCGGCGGGTTTGGCTAGCCGGCGGCAGGAAGGGATGGAAGTTAGGAGCAGTGCAGCCGTGGAACCGAAGCAACACACACCAGGTAAATATGAGCCTCATTTTTGCGTCGGCCACTTTGCAAGTTCATTATGTTCGAGCTTATGACTTTCTGCCGTCACACCATTTGAATGACATTTTCAAAAACCTTCGTAATAGGAAGCAACACACAAAAAGAAGTCACTGTCACATGTCCCAATTGCCTCTCCTAAAACAATTATGGTAAAGTAGGTTGCTGAAGGACACAGATAGGACTGTGGATACCCAGCTGACTTGAACTAAGGTCATAAATACAATATTTTATATGTTTTGACTCTTCCACCCAGCCCAACCCAACGAACAATTCACCTGAGTAAATTGGGGTATCGTCTGTACACCGTATTCAAGGGTTCACTATTTTCATGTTTGTTCGCTTTTGTCTTTTCTTAACGGGCCTCAAATGTTATAACTCCTACTGAACTTGGTTAAAAGGATCCAAACACCCAACCAGTAAAGGTAGCAAACGTCTGTATGATAAAGATGCAACAGTGAAATTGATCACCAAATTAACTGACCTAAAGTCTTCAAACTATATGTTTCATGTTCCCCTCTCCAGTCTCACCCACTGAATCACCACCGGCATACCCCGAACCACCTCCCCCCTCCAGCCAGCCTCTCCCTGCAGCCACCACGTCCCCTTCTAGTTTCACCCATTCTGGGCGTGGCACGGTCGTCTGGGGTACCCAGACAACCCCCTTGAAGACCCCACCTGCGACCAGATGTCCACCCACGAGCGCGATGCTGAGGAAGGGAGTTGAGAAACAGCCCGAGTTGCCACCGGTCGTGAACATCAAGAATCTGGATGTCAGTCAGAGTACTAGGCTTCCACCACCAGTGAGCTTTGCAACTGTAAATGGGTGAGTGTGTTGTTTGGGTTTTGGGTTGCTTAAAGGGTGTTTGGTTGGTTGGTTGGTTGGTTGGTTGGTTGGTTGGTTGGTTGGTTGTCTGGCTTAGTGATTAGGTAGTTTGTTGACTGACTTCGGCTCACTGGACTACAGACATTGAGTAAGGTGGCCGTCTGGATGGTTTGCTGGCTGTCTGGTCGGTTGGTTGGCTGGCTGGTTGGCTGATTGTCTGATTGGTTGGATCACTGGCTTGTTGGCTTACTAGCTGGTTGACTGTCTGGTTGGTTGGTTGGCTGGCTGGCTGGCTGGCTGCCTCGCTGGCTGGCTGATTGTCTGATTGGTTGGATCACTGGCTTGTTGGCTGACTAGCTGGTTGACTGTCTGGTTGGTTGCTTGGTTGCTTGGCTGGCTGCTTGCTGGCTGGCTGGCTCCCCGCAGGCATGCAACTTTTCCTCGGATCAGCTGATTTCCTCTGTTTGTACTTCCCATGTGTGCCATAAAAATAGAAAACATTGTACAAGGTTTTTTGTGTCTTTAAAGTTGCATGCCTGTAGCTGGCTGGCTGTTTGGCTGGCTAATTAGCTGGCTAGTCGGTTGGCCGGCTAATTAGCTGGCTTGTTGGTTGGCCGGCTGGTTGGCTGATTGGCTAACTCCCCGGCTGGCAGGCTGGGTTGCTGATTGGCTGGCTGGCTGGCAGGCTGGCTGGCTGATTGGCTGGCTGGCTGGCTCCCCCCCCCCCCCCCCCCCCCCGGCTGATTGGCTGACTGGTTGCTTGGCTGGCTGGCAGGCTGGGTGACTAATTGACTGGCTAGCTGATTGGCTGACTGCTTGGCTGGCAGGCAGGGTTGCTGATTGGCTGGCTGACTGGCTGCCTCCCCCCCCCCCCCCCCCCCCCCCCCCCCCCCCCCCCCCCCCCCCCCCGATTGGCTGACTGGTTGCTTGGCTGGCTGGCAGGCTGGGTGACTAATTGGCTGGCTGGCTGGCTCCCCGGCTGATTGGCTGGCTGGCTTACTGGCTGGTTGTATGGGTTGCTGTTTGGCAGTCTCCCCAGAGTTTGGATAGCTTTCTGGCTGGCTGGTTGGTTGGTTTTACTCATTTATATCGCAGTATTTTCGAGACCAATTTTACCTCAATCTACATTTAATTCCATTTAGCTCTGTGGATGCAGGCACCGTCAAGGTAGTCAATCAAGTCTTAGCTGAGATGGCAAAGACCAGTGGTTACTCCCAGCCAGAAGCAAGCGAGCAGACAGCGGTAAGTTTTTTTCCCCCCAATGTCCATCCTTCTTATTAAACATTCTCCGTCAATGTAGTGTTCTGAATAATGTTTGTATTGTTTCATACATTTGTTCACCTGTATGATTGGGTTTTTTTTTCATAGTAGTAAGGATAATAAGAATTAGCACTCCACTTCAAGTAACTTTACTTAAAACTTGATTACATTTATCTAAACAAAATTCAGGAAAGAAAGATCAGCTTTTCAGACGAGCCTCCACCCATCGTCCAACCTGTCCCTCCCTCCATGCCAATATTAATTAAAGCAGCCGGCGGTGGATCAACTGCGTTCAGCTTTGGTGCCTCCAAGCCCCCTGTGGTCCAGTCATTGCCTGCCAACGCATCAGCTATCCCACCAGCTGCCACCACATCACCACCAACATTCGGTGGATCCAACACCGGTCTTGGGCTGACGTTTGGCGGGTCTGGTTCTATGTTTGGAGCAAAGAAAGAAGACTCCTCAACTTCGGTGTCCACCGCAACCCAACCAGGCTTGTCTAGTTTTTCTTTCGCCGGCGGAGTTGGATCAGCGAAAGCAACCATCGCCAGTTCAACTGCACCAACAGCGACGTCCGCCTTGCCAGTTATGTCCGACACGGCCTCTTCGAAGCCAGTGTTTGGAGGAGCAAGTTTTACGACCTCTGCAGCCAAGACCTCAACAAGCTCAGGCTTTTCTCTAACAGCTCAACCAGCATCTAGTGTCGGAGCCGGTGGGTCATCGGCAGCAACTGTCCCTGGGGTCAAACCCAGTCTGTTTGATTTCAAGGATCAGAAATCTGCTGCAAGCACCAGCACTCCTGGGGGATTCTTTGTGTCTCGTAAGTTTCATATTTCTGCCTTTATTCTATGTTCATTTTGAAATCTGTTTAAATATGAGCTTTTTCAAGGTCAGTTGTAGAGGCCCAACTTATTTTGCAAATCCTTCCACTTTCTTAATACTATATCACGCATTCATTTTGCCAGCAGCAACCAGCTCTCTGAAAGAACCAATTCAAGACAAGCAGGTACCGGAAGCGACAACTTCGCCAGCAACCACCATCTCTTCGACTGAAGCCTCAACTTCCAAACCGACGTCTAACCTTAACTTCAGTGTCAAATCACTCATCACCATGCCTCCAGCAGCCCAGGCCCTACAACCCACCCAGGCCATTCGACCTACCCAGGCCGTCCAACCCGCCCAGCCCACAGGATCTGTAGCCCCCACGGCTAGCACCAGCAATGCTGGTGGGGTCCGTGATGCCGGCATCAAGCAGTTTTCTGGGATGGGTATGCAGCCCGCTGTAAGCGCTGCCCAGGGAGGGTTGAAACAGCTCCTTGTTGGAGAAGACGAAGCAGGCACCGGTTAGTTTCAAAGCCCTATAAACCATAATAATTTTTTTAAATAGAAGAGGAAATTGCTGTCAATAGTGGATTGCCTTTATTTTGAACCACCCTGTGTATATGATTTTTTTTTCATTTTGTTTTGACTGAGTTGAATTGTGTTGTTGAAACATTGTCACGACATGCCGCTATGTTGTCAATCTCCACCAGGTCTAGCCAGTAAACCTCAATTCACTGGGTTTGCATCTTCCGCCGTCAGCCAGACAGTGGGGGAAGATGAAGCTGGCACTGGTAGACCAGCTGCCGCTATCGAAGCCTCTGACACCTACGACAATGCACCACCTGCAGCAGCACAGCCAACAACTTCTGCAGCGACTACTGCATCAGGGCTGTTTGGCAAGCCAGTGGCAACACCAACTGACGGCACTTCAGGCAGTTTGTTTGGAGCAAAAACAGCATCTGTGGCTCCTTTTGGAATGGCAGCAACAACTGCAGCTACTGTGGCAACGCCAGCGACATCAGGTATGTATTTTTGTACTAAGTCCAAGCGTAGGGTGACGTCATTTGATAGTAGTCTTTGGACGAGTGTATTTTCAATCAGAAATATCCCTTTGGTTGTTGTTCAATTCGGTTAGGGTAAGATTTTGATCCTTAGGTGAAAGTGCATCGTAAGTGTAAATTTCTTATGGCCTTCCAAATGTGATTCACTATAGGAAGTGCAGCTGGGTTTAGTGCGCCATCCTTTGGAGCCGCCCCATCTGCCGGACTTTTCGGAGCTCCCAAGTTTGGAGCGAGCACCCAACCATCTGTCTCCTCCCCGACTGCAACTACAGCAGCTACCAGCACCGCGGCAGACAAGCCCAAGATGCCTTCCACGTTGTTCGGTCTCCTCAAAGAAGATCAGCCAACATCATCTGCTTCTGGCTCCCCATTTGGAGCAACGACCTCAACAGCTTCTAGCTCGGTCAGCAAGAACTTATTCGGCCAGCCCACTTCGACAAGTGCCTCCCCTTTTGGCCAGTCTACCACTACGTCCAGTGGGATTTTCGGTCAGTCGGCCACATCAGCGTCCAGTAGCAGTGGACTTTTTGGCAAGCCAGTCTCCAGATCTACAGGACAGATTTTCGGACAAGCAGCTACATCAACCAGTACCGGTGGCGTTTTTGGACAGCCAGCGGCAACCACTGGCGTTTTTGGACAGCCAGCTGCAACGAGTAGCGGTGGGATATTTGGACAGTCATCTCCAGCCGCCTCATCTCCCTTCCAGCAGGCAGGTTCTGGGTCGGGGGGAGTCTTCGGAACATCATCATCAGGCCCAACTTTCGGGCAACAGTCAGCAGGTAGGCACCCTTCAAACTCCTCTTGTCCGCTCGTTTCAATTTAGTAAGGCCTACTCTGCAGAGTTACAATTCATCAACCCTTGAGAGTTGTGGTGATGTGCATCATTGGGAAGATGCTAATTTGAAATTGCTTCTCTTGCAACACAAAGATTGCTAAACAACATCAGCATCTGTGAATGTTTTAAGAGGAGTTGGAAATTAAACCAATCCCATCAAAGATCGGGTGTTGAAGTCTGAACTACATGTAGCATTCAATGAACAACATTGTTACATTTTGCTTTTATGTTATTCAGTATTTGTAATCGTGAATTGCATTTATTTGATACAAATTCCAAATGCGGTTGTCGTCCACACATTGTTACCAATGCTATTTTTGTCCCTGTCTAGGAGTGTTTGGGAGACCATCTTCTGCGGGTCCCACATTTGGTCAAAGCCCCTCTGTCTTTGGTCAGACACCAGCAGCCACCCCCTCCAGTAGCGGTATTTTTGGTGGTAGTGCAGGTGGCGATGGAGGAGGTAAAATAAAACAATCATCGCTCAAGTTATTTGGATTTGCCAAAATTTGTAGTCATTTGTGAAAAAATAACCCTCGGTTAATCAAGAGATTCAAACTGAAATTTCCAATTTTTTTTAAAGGCATTTCAGAGAGAGCTATCATTTTTGTGTCGCCTAAATGAAGTTTTTTGGGACACTTAACAGTCCTAAATTCTGCATCCCCGTATCCCCCGTGTAACTGTATGTTAAAGTTTAGGTTAAATTTTTGGGGGAAAATGCATAACATCTATGTGCTTTCATGGATCACTGAGGTCAAAGTTCATGAAGGGGTCATTAGATGTCATTGTTCAAATATGCTTCAAATGATTCTTTGTCTACAAAATTTGATGGATTTAAATGTAACTTTGATGGGGTGATCCTTTTTTGCATTTATTTTGTGCCCTGACTGGTCCCATCCAATCAACGACAATGGACAGGTATTTCCAAAGAACAGAAAGCATTACAATTTTTACAACATATTGAAAATATTGCGGCTATTATATGAAAATAAAAAAAGGTTGACCTCAACTTCTGTTCAATCGATCACGCAGATAACAAACAAGTCAATCATGGGAGGCAGTGATGAGACTAGTCAGTATTTGGTACCAGGACGTTCACATAAAAAGAGAACGTGGACTGGCGTCTGAGACTTTAACATGGTCTATTGGCACATTGTTTTAGCTCTCTCAGAATATCCAGTTTTAACAAACAAGAAATCGCTCTCAAAAGCAATTCACTGTTTGAAGTATAAAGGGTTGTAATGCAGACAATTTATAGTTATACAGGGTGAGTCAAAAAAGCGAAACCCACATTTCGGGACTATTGTTTTAGTGAAGTTCTGCATGTAGCACTTTGAAAATCTAGGGTATGAAAGCCCAATTCATAAGCTTTCTTTTAGTACAAGAATCATTCAAATCACTCACATACTTTTCAAGTTACGTAATTTTATACACCACCACCGTAACTTCCGTTTTAAAGTTTTGTCCATGGATCACAAAAAAGGTGGCGTTCTTTCAGCAAAACGAAAACAATTCACACACATCCCTATGTGATTTTGTTTTCGTTTTGCTGAAAGAACACTTACCTTCTTGTGATCCTTGGACAGAACTTAAAAACGGTGGTTGTGTATAAAATTCTGTAACTTGAAAAGTATCCAAGTGATTTCAATGATTCTTGTACTAAAATAAAGCCTATGAATTGGGCTTGCATATCCTAGATTTTGAAAGGGCTACATGCAGAACTTCACTAAAACAATGGTCCTGACATTTGGGTTTCTTTTTTTTTTACTCACCCTGTACTTTTTTTTAGCCTCACAACTGCCTTAATCTGTTTATGTCACGAGGAATATTTTCTTATTTGCAATATTTCAGGAGGGTTTTTCAGTGGTCTTGGTGGTCGTCCTAATCCCGAGGCAGCTAGATCGAACCCATTTGGCTCACCAGCCGTCTCTGCACCTGGGTTTGGTGGCTCATCCACTGGTAAGGACGGTTTGCTCAGTTTAGTTTGTGTTTATTAAAAGACAATTCATTGGTCAATCTCTTTGTTCTCTTTTGGTGCATATCACTGTGAACAGCAGTGTAGTAAAGAGTACTCAAATCACCTGTGTCATAAGTTCTTAAGAATAGACTGGTGCCTGTATTTTGTGTATCTCTAGGTGGTTCAACTCTGTTTGGTAGTCAGGGTGCTTCAACCTTCGGAACTGGGACAGCGTCTTCACCTGCAGGTTCTGGTAAGTCTCCTTGTTGTAGTCTCTTGAGTGTGATTCCCTTACTTTCTTGTAGTATTCATTCAAGTCAGCAGTGCAATGGGTTTTACTTTGGTTCACCGGAGTAGTCTGCAGTAGATGCAGTGCTGTATTTTTCTTGGTTTCCTAGGAGAGTCTTCTCATTGTTAATCTTCTCATTTGACAATTTTTGTCTGGATTGTTGCAGTATTTGGCGGTGGTTTCAGCAGTCCGGAGGGTGGCGTGGCCAAGGCTGGCTTTGGTGGCTTCAATCAACCACCTAGTGGTAAGGAGCACTGTCAACTTTCAAAAGTGTGTGAGAAACTATAAAATTTATTACTGTCAGTTCAAAAAGTGACCAACAAATTATGTTGTCTGTACTACATGATGTTGTGTAAATTATGGTTTTTTTTTTTTTTTTCAGCATCAGCTGGTGGTTTTGGGAGTCCTCCAGCCTTTGGTAGCACAGCGGCATTTGGCAGCACGCCCGCATTTGGGGGTTCAGCATTTGGATCCTCGGGGGCGGGGCAACCTTCCCCCTTCGGGCAGGCCTCTGCCTTCGGAGCTGGGGCGCCTCAAGCGAGTGGTGGCATGAGTGGGGGTTTTAGCGGGTAAGAAACTCAGTCAGTCATGGAGTTGAGTCCCCTCGCGTCCCCTGAAAGTCAAGAACATTTACGCTAACTCTCCGAGACCCTTCAAACTCCACCAGGGGTTTGTAGAATTTTGTAGGATTTAGAAAGATATGGGCTCTGTGCGTGTCAGGATTTTTTCCTGATTTCAGGATTTTTTGTCGGGATTTTTCCTGATTTCAGGATTTTTTGTCAGGATTTTTCCTGATTTCAGGATTTTTTGTCAGGATTTTTCCTGATTTCAGGATCTTTTTGTCAGGATTTTTTCCTTATTTCAGGATTTTTTTGTCAGGATTTTTTCCTGATTTCAGCATTTTTTGTCAGGATTTTTCCTGACTTCAGGATTTTTTGTCGGGGATTTTTCCTGATTTCAGGATTTTTTTAAGTATCCCTTTTGAAATCTGCAATTCCTGATATTTTAATGTAAAGGTGTTTACTCTCATTTATACGGTGTGGTAAAAAAAATGGAACCTCATGCTTCCTTTAGCGTGAGACTCAAACCACCTATACCAATGCATGGAGAATCTTTTTAGAAGAAAAATGAAACCGAGATCGCTCGATTCGGTCCAGTAGTTTTTGTTCTAGAGCCTATTTTGTGAAGCAAGGTGGGGGTCATTTTTGTCCCGATGAATTACTAAACCGCGCCCGGGAATTTGACATAGTTCTAAAGAACCACCAACTCAAAACTTTTCTTTTGGCTCTGAAACAAATTTGTTGATTTTATTGTCCAATGTTTGTTGCGTCTGACGTAGGTTCGCCTCTCAGGAAACCCCAACGTTTGGCGCTCTATCCGGCACCGGCACCAAGCCCCAGCAGAGTGGCTTAGGAGGGTTCGGAGCGGGATCAAGTCAGTCAGGATTCGGTGGAACTGGTAAGTCACAAGCTCTGAAAGAAAGAAAAGTCTCTTCACTTTTTCAGTACACATTTTGGTAGTGAATTCCACAAATTTTAGTTCCAATCAACATGTACATTAAGTTCCTCATCCTAGGTGTGGGATCTGCAAGCGTGTACAGTTACCCAACCTTGAGGGATTTGAAGAAAAAGGTCCAGCTTTTGCAAATTTACATATATGTTTAACAATTTTACCCTTGAAATTTGAAAACGTATGTTGCAAAACAGTCCTGGTATGTTCAAGTCTTGTTTGTAACGAACTGAGGTTTTTGTCTCATTAAATTTAGGGACGAGGTACATAACGTCAATAAGAAAGCACAACTTGGCACAAAAAGTTTAGGAAACCTTGAAAAGTTCCGACGATGATGTCAGAACGGGAAGTAAAGAGTTAGGGAAACTCATTAAGGGAGACAGTGAATTTGTAGTTTGCCCTGTCTGGTTTGTATCATGAGAGGGTTCAATATGTTGCAGATTTGTTTGGGAGATCCTGGAGTTTTTGTTTTTCATAGGAATATTTTTGTTCAGCAATTACATGTTAAAGGTAAAGTAGATATTTGCAGCTATCCAAAAAGTAACCGACCAAATTATTGTTAAAAATCTTTGTTGGTTTAAAGATAGTAATGGCACTAAACTCCCTGTGAAATTATTCCTGCTGGTGTGATGTCATTTTGAAGAAAGCAATCTAATAAAGTCATTTCCAAAGATGAGTCAAGTGACACATTTTTGGAAATTTCTGTTAGTACAATGTAGTTGGTTTGTAAATGGGCGAATCCGTGAATGGGTGCACGCAAGCCTTGACACGATGCACGCGCACGCGGTTGCTATAATTCATCAGTTCACTACGTGATATCGCGTAGCTGTAATTGGCTGAATGAGAACGTGTTCCAGATGCCGATCTCAGGCACAATTCAAAATCTGACTCGGCAACTTTTGAATTGAAATCGAGCTGCATTCACAGAGCTAAAACTTCATCAGGTTAATTGTTAAACACCCGTCTTTAAATTCTGAGCACTTTTTTTGCTTCCAAAAAAAACTGGCAAATGATCTACTTTATGTTTAAGATTTGTTTATGCTTCGAATAAAATAGAAGTTAATGGTTGTAATGTATTTACATCTGGTCTCCACTCTTATCTCAAGGTGCTGAACATTCCTTTAAAATATTGATTTTTCTGATTCCAAGGTCACTGTAAAATCTCAAGTTGAAACAGAAGAGCAATAGGTAGAAAATGACCTCTTCTTGTAAAAAAAAAAACGGTCCCTAGAATTCATCACCCTTTAAACCAGAATGCTCGGTTTGCAAATCCTCTCCTGACGAACTGGTTTCTGTCACATGCACAAACCTGTCATAAAAAAGAACATCACACATTTGACAGTGTAACATGAACAGCGAGATTGCATTTCGCCGTGATCTACTCATAGGTGACAGTACCGACACGCCGCGGTGTCGCGTCGCTGTAGCGTGGGTCTCATGTTGCGTCCAAGTGGGACCTCCGATGATTGTTTTTCGGTTCGCTGATGCATGTGGTCGCTCTCTGAAAACCATTCCCCGGATGTCACGTCTCACGTTTATTAGGAAACTGATATTGGTCTTGTAGTGTATGCTGTGATGAAGAACCCTGGACAGGTGTCATCAGAGACTTGTCATCGTGTCATCATGTGTTGGGGTGACCCGTGCGTTATAGCACCTTGTCCATTGTGGTCACCCTGTTCATTTGGGTCGATCCATATGTTATGGCTATTTTATCTTTGGCACACAATTCACCCCTAGTATCCTGAAGTAGCAGCTATAAATCTTCGCAGCCTTTCTGTAATTATTAGACTAACAATATTTAAATTTATTCAAAGAAAATTTATAATAATATCTTTAAAATTAAAGCTGAAATAGTAAAACTGCTGCAAACTGCCTAAAGCTCATTGAAAACGGTCTCCTTTGAAAACATCTACTATGTAAGAGAAGCAGTATAAACTTATTTGCTGCCTGTTTTCCCCCCAAAATAAGAATTTATTTATATGGACAATTTTTTTCCAAAAAGTTTGCTTATTTTATGGATTTTTGGGCAGGCAGATGCAAGCAAGGAACAACCACTTGGGACAAAGCCCCTTTGAGGATATTCTGAAATTTTACATCTTACATTTTACATCCTCTAAAATCAATCCCCACCATTCAGCGTCGTCGTGATTTCTCGAATATCGGAATCCTAATAAATTAAAAAAACATCAATATTTTGGGGATTTTTTTTCTTCCTACTTACGACCAGAAGAAAAAAAAACGGAAACAAATCAGTCATTATTAATATTATTCATCTCAGTTATGTTTTTGGCGAGTCCAAAAATACCAACATCTACATCCTTTCTGAAAATATTTGCTCCACCCTAGGGATCAAGGGGGGATTGTGTTACATCCTGGCACAGGCACTTGAAACATGATCGTTATTATTCTCTGCCTCCCACCTCACCCCCCCCCAAAAAAAAACACCTGAAGATATTCAGAAAACTGAACTGATGCGCTAAGTCACAGCGGAGGGTAGTTGTGGGATATAGGGCCCTCCGTCGTTGATTTGTTCTGTGATGATATTGGCGGGTGCTGTAGGTGTCACCTTTCCATTGCAACGGGCCAATAAAACCCACAGGTCGGTGTAATCCACACCGGACATATCCGTGCATGCCTTTTTTTTTTCATAATGTATTTTTCATGAAATGGGAACAAGATGGTGCATACGGCCGTGCTGGTCGAATTTCAGTTGAGTGTCTTCATTATGGAGGTCTGGCATTTGCAACGACACCTTGCTATTATTACTTTAATACATGTCATTTGGAAGCAGTAATAGAGCCCCTTCTTAGTTCAATTTTAGATTATTTGAGGTGTGATTGTCTTTCAGGTCCTTGGAAACTTGTCGACTGAGATTAATCCATAAAAGATCTCCTCCCTCTACATGATATACATGTTTTTACATTTTGGGGAAACTAAGAAAAGCAGTGTGTTGACCATTTGTAAATGTCACTGTTTTAAACATTTCGGCTTTTTGTATTGTTGTAGGCACGTACAAAGGGCACTGCTAATCCAACTGATCCTTTACTTTTGGTGTTGATGTACAATCTTACACCAAAATGGTCTAAATTAACATATATGCATTGCATTAATAATGCATGCAATATTCGTAGAATGACCACATGTAACTGAGCAACAGGCACTGAAGAACTGCAACTATTTTTTTCACTATTTATATCAACTTTCTGCTCATGGAACAAACCGAATTTGATGACGTTATTAAAATTAAAGATATATCGTACAGTTTGCATTTATTCTCTTTGCCCAGGTTTTGGTGGTGGTGGTGGTCAGAGTAACAATACATCCAGTGGGTGAGTTTCAAAAAATAATGCTTTAAATAAATAAAAAAATTAAAAATCTTTAAATAAAGATTTTTCGGACCTGGCTTTGGCTAAAGGGCAAACTTATCTGTCAAAACAGGCAAAGTCATAGTTTGGGGGAAAAAACAAGTCAAGAAACTTAAAAAGAAAATAGCACTTTACTATCTGTTATTGATGTTGATGTTGCATAACCCCATGGTAATTTTGTAAAGCCTCATTTCCTGTGTCTTCTCCCGTCCCGTCTTGTTAAGATTTGGGGGTTCTTCGTCGTTCACTCAATATCGCTGAAATCTACCCCGGCCTGACCCTGAGATGCCCCATGATGCTGTAGTAGGCCTCGCACAGCATTCAACAAGCTTCGTAGAAAAGCTGAGTTAACATATGTTCACATAATTTGTTGTTTACTTTGGTTTGTTTACGTTTACAGATTTTAGAGGAAAATTGCATTGCAGTTCTGTTTTTGATAAAAACAAGGGCAGTGAATAATATAGTATTTGTTCTGGGAACGCCATACAATTTACAAATTCCCTGGAAAAAAAATCGGAGGTTTGTATTTTTTTTGTATGAATGCCATTGTTTCAAGTGCTGACATGCACTTCCAACTTTGTGTTTTAATGTAAGAAAAGTAGAAGCTACGAAATCAGTAAAATTACACGTTTGCCGGAAAAAGACCTGCAATGCATTCTTCTCCATTGCAATGCACATCTTCACCTGGATTTTACTGGTGTATGGACATATGCATGCTGTCTTACGTTACTTAGTTATTTTAATGGTCTCACTGCTCAGACACAATAGTATTTAACATAAATATGAAATCAAGGCAAGATTTTTTAGATATACCATACTGTGGTGCTACAGCAATGCAGAAAAGCTTAAATAAAAGAGAACATTTCTCAAGTCTAAAACGGGCTTAAAAATTGGGATTCTTCGATCATACAGAATCCCTCTCTAGGAATGCTGAGCCTGCTTGCCTTCTCAAGAGAAACTCCTTACCCTTGCCAAAAAAAACACCAAAAAAAACCACGTAGAAATCAGATATTACCTGGATATTTCCTGCGATTAATTTTTGTGCCACAAAAAGGCAGAACCCTCCAACACTAACGTTAAATTTGAGGAAATTTGTTTGCGTGTTTTAGTCTTTGCCAAGTTGGAGTTTACACAAGGAGCTGCTTTGAGGGTCACTTCCACAAACTTGAAAGCTTAGGGTTTTTGTCATTGCTCCGGATATCCAAGATTTCACGGCCATAGATAGGCAGCAGCTGGCTATCACATCACTATCATTAATTGGGGCTCCTTAATCTAGTCTGGTTTACGCTGCTAAGCTGCTAGTTGTGAAGCCATCAGTATTACTCAGCTGTTCTGCTGTCGGAGTCTTGACGGGTGAACATACTTTAATTTTATCATCACTGGAGGAGAAAAGGTCCTTGCCATTTCACTGTCGGCATAATTGTGTTAGAACCTTGACATCACCACATATACTCATACTAGAATTGACAAGTGTGACATTTTGGTTCTGTGTCACACATAAGGGCATCAGCACTGTCATTCTTGCTTTTCCTCTACGGTCAAAGATAGGTTTGTCAGAGTGCAGGCATGGTAAAAAAAAAAATGTTTAACCTAACTCCCTAGGCCTTTTTGCTAGGATGTAGCCTCAATCCTGCAAAATCCTCCAATTGGCCTCATGGAAAAATAGAATATAGCCTCAATCCTGCAAATTCCTCTATTATTTCTTGAATATGGTCTGTGGAGGGGTGACCACTGCCTGAATACTGCGGCAGTGACTGTCACTATGTTGAGGCTTGGCCAGTGACATCCTGGAGCAGTACGGAGGATTTCAAGCTTAATCCAGGCCTATATTTATGCATGGATGAGCAAAAACAACACAAGGTCAACCCAAGACCTTGACAAAGTGCATCCTATGAAATCAGTTACACACTTTTGCCATGTTACCTCAATCCTCCAAATTCCTCCGCTTTGGCAAAGAGGATTTTGAAGGATTCAGGACGGTTAGGGTTAAAATATCATTAAAGTGTTTTATTTTTCTAAAGGCTTATTAAAATTCATTTCAGTGAAATGAAATGAAATTGCAACACACTGGTATACATAAGTGCAACCACTTGTTATTCCCATCATGGACAAGAATAGACCTGGGAAATTGGAGTTTAACTCACATTTATTTCATTTGTTCATGTTGGCTCTTGTTTTAAATACATCAGTCACTGTGTTTTGTTCAGTTTTTATTTGTTATTGCATGATTTTTATTGTTCATCAAAATCCAGGTGAAATTGTGAAATTGCTTTCCTTTTTTTACATTTCATGGTGTTCTAGCCTGTTCTGGCCTCAAATGGTGTATCATTTTTCATGTTCGGAAGACGAATAACAAAAAGTGGAGAAGGGATATATTTGCACCGAGGCCTAGTCAAATACAGTCAGACACAAACTGTTATCGGTCAAAGAAAAAAAAATCTTGTATCTCCCGCAAGATTTAACCGTTGTTTTGGTCAGTTTTATCATTCTGACTATCAGGAATGTTTTCAAAACAAATCTATTTTTGTTGTAAAAAGCCTCTGAGCCATCAAACTGATTCCCTTTTGGGGCGAGATAACGTCTAGAACACCATGGAACTACCTGCATGCTATACGGCAGGCCAGCTCTGACTAGAATTTTCAATCATGGCACTGTTGCAAAACTCTGAACGTAATGGCACGTCCGTTTACCTCGGGTAAAAGAAGAAAAAAACAATTCCCGAGTTCGAATTCCCACTGGAGTTGCTGAATTGATCCCTGGTTTTCATCCTCTGGTGTGGACTATTCTCCAGAGGTTTTTTACTCCTTCCTGCTTCTTGAATGCCAGATTTATCTGTCTGGTCTCCTCTCCAAACAAATGTGTGCCCTGAGGAGAGACTAGAGCTAACGCATTGATTGGATTGCCCAAGAGAAGCCGGGAAAACAGAATCCAAGCACAGCAATCTGTGCGCTATGCTTGCATCTTTGAACGATCGTTTGGGGTTGCTCATAATGATTGAATATTTGGTTGACTTTTTCGGTCAATTTCTGTCAGAGCTGTCCGTGCCTATTAATACCCTCCATTTGGTTTGCATGCCATATTACATGTATATCCCAACCAGATATGGAAATTTATTCCCTTTTTTGTTATTATAAAATAAATATTGTACTCGGACCTACAAGTATGCAGTATAATACCCAAGGTCAGATTTTTTTTAGCTGTTCCCAATTTCCATGGCAGTGGTAATTTTCATGGTTGCTGCTCCTTTCAAAATATTTTATAAAAGTACCAAAATTGTCGTCAATATCCTTTGGTTTGGAGGAAGAAAAAAAAATAGTAGTTTAAAAAAACTGGGATTGTATACACCTTTAAAAAGCTCGTAATCTTCCATACTGCGTTTGAGCGATGATTCAGATGTTCAACCGGAAACTCGGACTTTTACTTAAGCCCCAATTCATCGCTGTCGTCTGACGACGATAAACAGGTGCAGACTGATTGTATGATAAGTACAGTTTCAAACTTATAAAGAACTGTTTATAAGCATTGACAAGAACATAGATAACTTTTAAACGAGCAGTAAATTTCTTTGTTCAAAACAATATTTAAATCCCCTTTAAGTCAACGTAAGCAATTAATTCAGACGTTTGTGGTGAAAAAAAACTGAATAAATAGCACTTTATTCATGTGTATAACATTTTGGCCAATTTAAGATTCATTTTTTCCCCCACAATGTTGGTAGTGATTTGTGGTACCCACTGCTGTGTTTCAGATTAAAACTGGGCCACTGACCCCGGCAAGCTCGGTGGTTGAGCGGTAAAAGACATCTGCACTTGTGTGCAGGAGGTCTTGGGTTCGAGTCCTGCCTACGCAAGCTTGTGAATTTATCTCGCAAGCTCACTGAAAGCACAAAGCGTACAGTGCTTGTAATATAACATTATGTCAGTGAGGTTTTTTTCTCCAAAAAGAAAGAAAAGAAGAAAGTACTGTGTTCCAGAGGTTAATTTCCGAGATGTTTAACCCACTTAATTGGAACAGACATGAACCGAACGACCTACTCGGCCGAATTCCAAGAAAGATGTGTTGACATGGTGGTTACCATGACAACTTGGACGTAAGGAACCCAAATGGGAAGTGCCTAAATTGCAGCTGCATTTTGGAGGAAAATTAGACGGACATCATGTCCTTAAAACCCCAAAAGAAAAAAACATCCATTTTGTGAGTACATTGTATCAAGAGCAATTTTCAACATGTCCGGTGTGACGTCGTCGGAAATTCCAGGGAAAAAATCCTGAATTCTCCAGAGAAATGAACCATGATTTTCCTAGAGATGAAACCTTTTGGGTAGCCAATGAACTGCATGGCCCTTTAATGTCGGTTGATTTTCTGACAAAGCCTGTGAAAATCTAGCAGGTTGCGATCACTCTGTTCAGGAAATTCCGCATTATGTTTCTTGCATGTCACGACGGTGGATGTCCATTGTTATTTTTTTGGAGGGGATGAGGAGGCGTGGGGGGGGGGGGCTGATGATGTTGTAGAGTTGGATCAGTTCATGTTGAGGATATTCAATTTAATGATTCCTGGCAGGTTCTGGAAGTTATTTATGAGCTGGAGTGACCTTGCACTTTTAGGGATGAAACAAGTGTTTGTTGTTCATATTGTGAAGAAAAAAATTGACAAAATTTGACAAATATAAAACTGGATGTTTTACCAATAACAAAGGTTGTTTAAATGCAAGGAAACTGAGGAATAGAGATCTTTCTTTGATTTGTAAACGTTGAGCGCCATTTTGTATGAGCTGCCGCAAGGGTGTAAATTTAAGCTTTGGTTGGCAACGGATTTTACTACAAATTTGCATATTAACATCCTCGTTATGTAAGGAAGAGGCATTTTTGTTAAGTCTTTTTGTAGTTGTTTGTTGGTTATTTGCTATTTTCAACAATCCAATGATAATGTTTGGAAGCATTGATATTCTTTGTTTTTGCAACGTCGGCCTTCCAAAGGTTGCCAATTTGTGGTAGTCAAATACTAGTGCCAACACAGGTTAGCCTAGATAGACATGTGTTTAAGCAGAGTTAGAGGGAAGTTGTTTTTGCTAGGATTGGCATGAGTATTGCTTTGTGTACATTCATTGTTTCTGTATTGGAACAACAAAGAACGCCATCATATGTACCTGCAAGACATAAGGCCAATTGCTGACTTCATGGAAACATGTTTTAAACTCTCCTTTTGAAAAAAATATCATTTGTCTAAGGCAGAAACAAATTATGGCGTAAGAGCCCTAATTAACATTCAATTCAATTCAATTCAATATTCAAATCAGTTCTGGTTTATTGGATAAAAAACCACCACCAAAAAAAAGTCAAAGACTTTAAGTTGGTTTACAAAAAAATTGCAATAAAATTTACAAATTTATACTAAGCATTAACATAAGCATCCCAGAATTCAAATTAAGTTCAAATTGTTCAAATGCAAGAGGGGCTTCAGAAATAAGAGCATATGAAGAGAGCTACAGTAAAACGATGGATAGGATTAAGAGTTAGCCTAAAATGAGTTATGAGAATGCTGAATTCAGCATCTGCACCATGAATGGTACTGGTCATGAGTCTATGTATCTTTGAGTTCTCATTCATATATTTATCTAGCTGCCGTGTGCTTCTTAAAGTATGCTCTGACAAATAAATAGATTTCCGTTCTGGTGGGAGGAGGTGGCAGTGTCTTTTGGAAATAAGTACAGACTTTGCAAATTTCAGATCCAGATGTTCACGTCTTTGGTACAATGACTCAACTTTTCTGTTACAAATTAGAGCAAATAAAAGGCTGATTGACCATCAATTTCCAGTACATAGTGGGACACATTGTGAAGTACATGTACATGCAATTAAGCATTTCCTTCAGTCCTTTCAGGGCAATTAAATTGAACAAGCGCAGGCAAAATTTGATGGATTGTCAAGGTTTGGGTTGTTTTGGCACAATTCACTGCATTGTCAGTCCGTGCCCTGTCTTCTCTGGGAAAGCAATTACTACAGATGTTTTGGTCATGCATCCATGAACAAAGGAAAGTGGGACTTCCCTTTGATTCATTGTACATGTAACCAGACAAACTTGACCTTGCCCACTTTTTTCTGATTAGTGGGCACTCTAATCGGAATTGATGTGTGGTAGTAGGGCACCATTGTTTGTGGTTGCTGAGTGGTTTTCATGTTCCAATAATATTGTCTGGTTTTTGATAATTTTAGGATTGTTCTATGAAGTGTTGTGGTCTAAGAGTTTAAGGAGGCTGGTTCTTGTAGTCGAGCCATCAAGAATGTAGGTTCTAATCCTGCTATGGCAGTGTTTGTGTCCATGGGCCAGATGCTTTGCCCTAATTGCTTCTCAACCATGAGTACTTAGGGGAACTTGTTAATCAGAGTGTTGTTGTAAGTTTGGTTAATGAAAATCCAAAGTGTCCAAGGTTGGCTGTGTATGCTCCGTATGGAGGCGTAACCTAGGAATGTACATGTGTAGGCCCACCGGTCAGGGGTAATAATGTGCCAAACACTTTGACATTTTGTGAAGTGGCTGTATAGGTCTCTTTCAAATGACGTCATTTCCAATAGACCAGCCACTTGCATCGGCATTTTGAGCGTCAACTTGCATAAGGCGCATCGGCTGCGTCGTATATCAAACACATTTCGAACAACAAGCGCG